ATAGTTTTAAAAACATCCTAATTTATGAGACCTGGTTTATAGCTTCTGATTTATACCTCATGCATCCCTGGAGGTGCTGAGGCTGCCTTTGCCATTTTTAAGAGAGGGACAAAGTTAAACTTCTGTCAGATGAAGCCAGGTTTAAAAATCGGTAAGGAAGGAGACTCACTGTCCCAACAAGAAACTATGGGGAGGTAGTAAAGCAAACTGAGAAACATGAAGCATTTATTATTCACTGGCAATAATGGTTTCCTGTTAAAACTGGCTATTTGACAAAGGTGATGAATTTAATTCCTCGCTCTCTCATTGGGGAATTAGAGAGTTAGCATGGGACAGGAGCAAAAAGTCTTCTGCCTTCTCTAGAGAGTAAGCTAAAGCTAGCCAAAGCGAAAGTTTGGAAGGTGTTCAGGAACCACTGTCAGGAATTTAGTGATTATCAAAACACTGCAAGTGTCAAAAAAGATTGGAGCACTGAAGTTGTCCTGGAAACCGAGCCATTGTTCACCCACACACACGTCCATATGTAAGCAGCTTGGTGAGTGGTCGTCCAGGACATATCCTACGAAATTGCTGCAGTGAAACTTCTGATGAATCTCAGCACAATTTAGTGCCTGTCAGGAAGTGACAACGAGACTGTGGGCTTTTTAAAGATCTCATATTGATAGTGAATGTTTTGCAAGCTCAGTTTGCTGAAAGGCTTGAAACTCGTTATCTCCCATAAAAGCCTTACAAATATTGGACGTGATAAAGGAAAGAGGCTTTGTTTTACACATTATGTCAATTTTTAGCTTTTCTTTTAGAGCCCCGTATGCTTTTAATGGCTGCAAAAGCAAAACAGCTTCATAGCTGCTCAAACTTGCAGAGAAGTTATTTATTAGGTGCTATTTCAGACTCTGTGCTTGGACAGGCTGGGCTGTAATATTAACCTCCAAATTAGTTAGTACTGCTGCTGAAGGATGTTTTCCAAGATCTGTTTTTAGCACTGTTAGAATGGAGCTTGGAATATGGATTATCTAAGGACTTTTTGAATGGAGCCACATGGGAGATGAACTGCAGTGATTCTGCACATGAATCAGAAAGCACATATTTGCCTGTACAGTGTGCGAGAGCAAACAGATGCCGCTGAGCCTGCTGCTGAAATAGCCTGTTGCAGTAGACATCAGGAGCATTGTGAAAAGAACTTTAAAGGACAATTATCTTAAAGGCAGAGACACCCGCTCATTGTATATTAAGAGCACTGATTTGAAGGCATGTTAGTTTTGAAGGTCAGACAGAGCTACTGTATTATATACACCATGTCAAGACCTTGTCTACAACTGTCTGAATGTTAAAATGGCAAATCCATCCCGATGCAGATACAATTATAGAGACATAAACGTATTTATACACTAATTCTGGGAAGTAACAGTTTAAGTGTCCTGTACTAGTCTGAAAGCCACCACACAGAGGATGATACCGATGTAAAGCTGTCTGTTTGCCAATTTAGCCGCAATAGTTGATGGTTTAAAAGACAGAGCAATTATCACTGTCTGTCATCTGGGGGTCACTGCCCCCACTGCTTAGCCAGCAGAAGGCATTGGTTTTTTATGCTCTTGCTGCTTAAATTAACTCAAACAAGGGTACCAGAGAATGCTAGGATGTGCTTAGACAAAAATATGTGTTTCATGTTACCTTCATGTTGCTGTGGTATCCCACATGCCCCCATGTATTCACAAACACTTTCTACAGACAATAATAAGCAACATGTACCCCAGCATTACAAGACTTGCACTGCAAATGTAGAGTTATGGTGGCATCACAAGTGTTTGTATAAGCATATAAAGAAATTAATATGTATGTGTATCCTTTTAAGGCTGGCAATATATTGTTTCTTGTTTTTTCTCACAGTGAGAGCCCTATGAAGCACTGGAGCAGGCTACTGACAGTAATATAGGCAACAACCCACAGGAAGAGGTTCTCCCCAGTTTTGAAATGACAAAACTTTTCTGGCTGTTTTCAGATGCCACTTTAATTGTCACCAATACAATTTAGTTGATATTTTTCCCTATTTTTGCACAAGGACAAGCGTTTCATGAGAAAATTCACTGGGATTAGAAAGTGGCTGCTTATGTGCTACTAAAACTGTTTCTGAGTCTGTTCATCTTCCTGAGGAGTTGAACAGCTGTGATGTACCTCAGCACATCATTTTCCTGTAGCTTTTATCCCCATGTAAAAGTTACTAAAAATAGGTACATCAAGAAGAATGCTCTAACAGTTTTGACATAACCTGACGGCTGGTGGGAAACTCCATGAAGGACCCTTTCTTCTGCCTTTTTATCCCTGAAACAATAATTTCTGATGAAGATCTTAAAATCAGCCTGAAAGAGCAGGCATGGTATTGGGATGCATGCTTGTATCATACCAGCACTTCTACATGTGAGTCTCCCTTTTCTCTTCCCCAGACCTTCACCGTACCCTAAGTCTTTCCATTAAGAGGCCTTAGGTGTGTTTCTGCAGGGACACTTGCAAACCTGACAGCTGCCACTGTGAAGCTTGAAGCGATGACTTCCAGAGTAAATGTGTGGATCTTAGCAGCTGGTGCAAAAAGAGACAGAATTTCCAGTTGAAAGCTATCATAAACACCTGTCCCCTGTGTATTGGACACAGATGTGTGTTGTATAACACATTTTCTGACCAGTGGGTTACACAAACAAAGTGTGTGACAAGTGACTGAAACGTGAAACATGTACTTTTGTGATTCACTCCATAATTCACAGATTAGTGTACTTTAAAGTACAATATCCTTTCTTAGAGTGTCTCATTGTGTGAGCAATATTAAACAGTACTGTCTTGCCTGTCACAGTTACGCACCTCAGCCCCTTTGAGGTCTTTATTAAAGGCTTTGAGCAGCTACCTAGCTCAAGATGATGTTCCCTGCCTGAGAACAGGACCTAGGACAAAGCTTCATTGGATTACTTTTTATTACTGCTCTCCAGAAATGTTGGAACTTCAAAGAGCCTGTAAGGCCAGTGATAAAACTATGGAAAGCACTGTTAAAACTAGAAGCAAATACAACAAAACATTAGGGAAGTTTATTTCAGAACTAAAAACCCCCACTGATGGGTATATTCGGAAGGGGGGACTTAGAAACTGCAACATGCAGGATATCATCTTTTGCCTGCCTTGCCAGCTAGTTGTATGTGTGGCTGTGAAGAAGCTCAGGCTCCCAGCTCAGCCTGTGGGGACAGGCAGGTCCTTCAGGAGGGCAATGGAAATCAGCTTGCTGTGCAGTCCGGCCTCTAAGCTGATCTTACTGACTTGCAAATGTGAGTAATAAGAATGGTTTAACCTCTGAATTTCTCCGGACCTAAAGTCAAAGTTGGAGTACTGAAAACTTAGGTCAGTGTAGGAACTCCTGCCCAGAATTTGAGGTGGGATTACACACTGATTCAGATTGCTTGGCTTCTCCTTCTAAACTTTTGGTTTGTGTCTGCCTGAATTAGACCTAGCAGGAGGATAATCTTCAAGTGTGCTTAAGGTGGAGAGAAGCTGGTGTCTTTGAAGAGCTCATGACCTCTCTGCCCAATACCACTGCCTACCTCTGATTATCTCTAGAGCCTGAATGCTTCCAAAGGCATCTAATCTTCTTCAAGGGGAAGGCTAAAGAGCTTTTGTCTGACAAGGGAGACCCAGTGTTTTAGATCACATACCTAACATGTTAAAACAGAGTAAAAATGCTTCCAACTTTCAGCTTTGTTTTCACATGTAATCACAGAAAGAAGAGGGTACAAGAGCTCACTAAACAAATCAGTGGAAATCACAGGCTCAGTTTCTTTCTCTCCCCGACCAATCTCCCAGGGAAGGCGTTATCCCATAGGAAATTTAATATTATCTGTTGCGCAGAGTTGGTAACTGGTTTACTATTCTTTATCATTAATATGCTGAGAGAGGATCGGAAGGTAGAAGGAGCTTGGATGCAATAGGAAGAAAATAAAAATGAGAGAACTATGAATCTATGAGAGCTGGCTGTTTTTTCAAGTCTTAATTTAAATGAGAAACCTTAACACCGTGTATCAAGCACTCCCTTAAAAATATTCAAACATTTGAACTATATGGACAACTTCCGTGATATCCAAGCTATCCAGTTATTGCAAGAACCTTAAAAACTAGGCTTTTGAATGCTGCCCCAGGACTGTGCTAGGGTGTGAAATTTGCTATTTTGGGGGTTGCGTTTTCTTCTAGACTGGTGAATATGATAAACAATGGGTCAGACTCACCAGAATAAAGTTCTTTAAGTTTTTATTTCCATTTGATTTAAACTCATGAGATCTTTAACAGATCTGCCAAAATTTAATTCTTCTTTACACTATGGTGTTCAGTTTGGGTGAAAATACCTTGTAGTCTTCCTCTAAAACAAGAACAAAAGAAATATTTACATGGTGTTTTCATGATCTCTAATAAAGAGGAAAGAAAATAAAATGAGAGGAGAGAAAATGCTGGGAAGGAAGTTCTTTGTGGAAGAATAGCCATTAATATAAAACACATTTTGAAGGGTAGATGTCCCAAAATACTTTCGATGACACATAAATCAGATGCTAATATTAAGACTTCCAACTTGCAAAGACTAATACATATGCTTAAAATTACACATTTGAATAAATGCATTGATTGTATTTGGCTGTATGTAAGCCTATGCAAGAATAGATAGGGACTACTTAAAGACATGTAGAGAGATAAAGATAGAAAAGACATACAACTCTGGCTCTAAACCAGCAATTATCTGCCAAAATCACATGTAGTGGACCATAAGTTCTCTGTTCCACATCCTGTGTTTGAAGAGTCTTACCTTATAAAGATGTCAGGGCTAACGCCATTATAAGGAATTTCCTTCAAGAAACACATCCATTTGGGCAGAAATGTGTATTTTATCCATAATAACTAATATGTGTAGCCTGCTATTTATGAATAATTATAAATAATACTCTGTGCTGATGTTGCATTCTTGTATTGTTATCTTCCAGATGGGAGTTGCTGTAGTGGATTCATCAGTTGCAGGACTGGGTGGATGTCCCTATGCAAAAGGTGCTACTGGAAATGTAGCCACAGAGGATGTGATATACATGCTTAATGGCCTGGGGATCAATACAGTAAGAAATTTTTACTTTCTGTTTAAGACTTTAAGGAAAACAAAAATGTTTTTCTAGAAGACATATGATACATACCTGACAATTACTTGTGCTGTACAATAAAATATTGGGAGCAAATAGTTTTTGCAAACACAGCACTTTAGCGTGGCTTGACACATAACATGAAAGATGTCTTCACTAGCAATTTAAAGTAGAACTGTTTTGTGTATTTGACAGGAATTTGAATAACCCCACTGTCATTACCTGGAGCTGCGAGGATCTCAGTAGCAACTACTTTGAGTCATTGCTCTGCCTCAGTAACCACAAAAAAATCACTACTGTAGACATTGCCTCGGGAGGCTGATCAGCTCTACAGTGGAATGACTGAGTGGACCTCAGCATTTTTCACAGAGCTTTGGATTTGGTTCATAGTGCTTATTAATTTGTTGCCAATTTTCCTGGCTTCAAAGTAGAAAAAAATTGTGGTGTTTGGAGTGCAAGCACAGGACATTGGTATTTCTCAGGTATTCACTTAATATATTTCAAAATTGTACAAGATCTGTTACTGGTTAGCATTCTTCACAGTTATTTTTATTTCCAGCCCTGTCCTTCAAGGAGAGGGCAAAGCAGTTTATCTACACCAATCCGCACTTTAATGAACCTTACCCGTGAGCATTCACACTTCAAGAGCACACATTTAGTATTCCTGGCTTTGTTATCATGTTAATTATTCTGTATACCTGGGAACCAAGTAATGCTGCTTTCTCCAAAGAACGTGTTCTTCAGTCTTCCTGTTGGTTATCATTGTTCTGGAAACGTGCCATAATGATTTCGTAGTAACTCCAGCATTACAGTGACTTAGATATAGATTTTGGGAGTTGAGTTCAAAGGACAAAATATAAAGAGCTGCCCAAACTGCAACATGTGTGGTTTGTATTTAAACTACTGCAGAAAGAGATTGAAAAGCCCAGTGTCTGAAAGGCAAAAATCTGAATTTTTGGGGAGCTTATCACTTGCCTGTTGGTTAGAGTTCAGTGTGGCATACACACCAACAGAGTTCCTTGACATAAAAGGATCATGGAACTTGTTTCTGAATTGTACATCCCCTGAGCACTGTTAAAGCATATTCAGTACCTTACAGAGTTCACACTGTTTATCTGCTTTCGTGTGCTTCTTAGGGAGTTCTGGGTAGATGTCAGATAACTGTTTAGAAAAGGTTTAATCACAAGTGTCCGCTGCACAAGTGGGCTCTGTTTTGAACTGTTCATACGTGCTTTGGGATAGCTTTTTTCATGAAGAATGTGTTTATTGTTTTGAAACAACACAGTTCTTTGGAATAAGGAGGAGAAATCATGCATTTCACTTTACATTGCTGTGCACCTTATACTTAGGCTTTTATTATAGTTTTTCCCTGGGCAAATTGTCCACTGACATTTCCAACTGACTCATAGCAAAAGGTATCAATTAAATAAAAATATCCTGATTAAATTTAATGTACCTTGTTCCAGGCTTCTTGATAAAATTTATTAATCTGTTAATGATCTGGTGTCCAAACAGGACTCTAGGTTGTTCTAAAGGTTGATACCAAATCCAATGGAGATAAAAATCTCACCGTGAAACACTTAGTTCTCCTTTTCTTATTTTAATTTTAGATTATGCAACAATAAAACACAGGCCTTTGCTTCTTGACCCTTTTCTGGCCAATTAAGAAAAGAGTGATTTACTGGATGAGAGACATGGAGCCTCAAAATTATTACCTTAATATATGAGCTTTGGTCTTTGCAGTGTTGATTGGTTTTGGTACCATGGGCAATTCTGTAAAATCATTATCGCAAAAATCTATTAATACATCCCTTTTTGCGGAATGACACAAAATGAAATTGTAATTACTAATGCTGTCCGTTTGCAAGGAGCGCTTTGTCACGTTCTTCTCAGCTATGCACTAAAGCTTTCATTTTGTTGACTGAAGTTACTTACAGTGTCAACCAAAGGATGGATAGTATTTAAGCATACGTTACTGAGTTCAGATTGACTAGATACATCAAAACAGTAATTGATGCTTGTTCTATACTGTTCTTCAGAACATGTAACCAAGAAGTGACACATGAAATGAATCTCCATCAGGCTAAATGTGAAATAATTTTCTAGCAGAGCCTACCTACAAGGAGATTTATTGGTTGTACCGTGGTAATGGATAGATAATTATGTCATAGATCATTAATGCTTATGCAACTTTGTAGGGAGACATGTACTTTCTGTAAATACAGTTTCTATATGGTTCCTTCGTAATTACAGTAATAGTACTTGTTCTTATGATGCTTTTGAAGTGCTTGACAAACAATAAGCCTTTCTGAGGAGCAACTAAGTACTGTTAACCTCACATTACTGACACCGAAACCAAAGTACAGAGAGATAATAGACTTGGTATTTATAAATGCTGAATGAGAACTGTTTAATGGAAGTCAATGGGAGTTAAAGAACTTTGCCTTCTGTGAGAAGCTTTTCTGACTTAAGACACTTACCTGACTTCATATATACTATCAAAGGTACTTGTCTTTGTGTTTCATGGTTTTATTCCTTGGTGTCAAGGAATAATTCTGGATGTATGGAGTGGTTACCAAGTACACTTAAGTACACTTCTGAGTACCTATCTGAAGACATTATTTTGACTCAACAACCTTACAAACACCTGTCACTACTCTTTTCGCCTCTCCATCTGTGAGTCATGCTGGTGAATTCTGGGGTTTGTGCCCTCATAGTAATCCTCTTTGTTTCTCAACACTTACATAAGAAGGACAATTTAAAAGGCTTAGAGATGCTTGCATTCCATTTAATGAATGTGAACTGTGAACATATGTTTCTTATCAACACATATCACATTATGCAGTTTTACAGTGCTGAAAATGTGAATTTTTTACAGTTTGGGGTTTTTATTTTGCTATCTTCCATAATCTAACTTCCAAGTATGTCTATGGTGGTATGTTTCTTATTTAATCCTTGTAAAAAAACACAGATGCTCTAAGAACTTTTTAGATTGCGTTATGTTCAATAGCACTTTACAAACTAAACCTAAGTAATGACCAATAAAGGATAAACAGAATAAGCTGAAATCACCCTTGTTATAACTGTATTAAAAAGAAACAGTTAGAAAAGGATGTCTTTGAACAGTATGTTTTAGATGGTACTAAATACTAGAGCTGATTGGAAACTTTGAAGCTTTTTTTTTTTTTTTTTCAAATTAAAAATGTTTTTAATTACATTTCTGTGAAGTAATTTCTATTCTCATTAAGGTTTTTAGCCAATTCCAAGAATGTAAAAGGCAAAGTTTACCATAGAACATGAAAATAAGTGCTAGATCCAATTAAAAGATTAAGCACCTAAATCTAAGTCAGAACTTCAGTGCATAAATCTGTAAGTGTTGCAAAAGTGTATTTCTAGTGCAATGCATCTTGTACTCTTTAATGTGGAGTGACACACTTCCCTCAGTTTTATGCTGGGACTGCTCAGTATATTGGTAGTTCGAAGTTCCCTTTCGCATCTCTTCTACAGAAACTTTACTGGCTTCTAAATACCAATCTTTGGAGGAAGTACTTACATCATTTATACAATCTAACTCTAAAATTTTTACTGTACGTGAGTAATCCAGGAGACTAATAAAGATGTACATTTTTTCCTCTTTAATCAGTGATCTGATTCCATTTTAGCAATCAAGCAGTACTGATATGTATCTTATGTTAGTTAAAACCCAGTTGGTTGCTCAGGGAATGTTTTTTTTAGCATGGACAGAGCAAGCAGCTGCAATGTTTTGCTCAGTTGTGCTAGCAATGTAAATTGTAATTTTGCATTGAAAGGAACTTCTTCAAAAAAGAGATTATATTTATTCAAGAGAATACAGGGTCCTGTTTCTCACTGAATTCAGTTGCCAATACAAGTGTGTTTCCTGCATTTTCCTGAGCTACAAATGGGATACTTATAAGCATGAAGTTTCTTAGCGTTGGGTAATAAATAAGTACAGCACATATGTAGACACCATATTTTTCTTCTGACTTCTTCTAGTTGTTACTTCAGTTCTTCATTCTGGATTCTTTCGAGTTTGAAACATATTACTCAAGTATTTGGTCCACTGCTGTTATGATATCACTCTCAAAGTGGTAGAATCTTCCAAAAAAATGGAAGCTGTGACTATTGTATAAGTCATCGTAGCTCTACTCATCTACATTAGTGACCTATGACATGAATCAGGCCCTTTGTTTGCAATAATTAGACCTTGGAGAAAAAAAAAAAAAAAAAAAAGGGAGTTTAAGAATGGGAATTTAAGCATTTTCAACATGCGTTTATTATTCTTAATATTTTTCACCTCTTTTTTAGGGAGTAAATCTTTCTACAGTGATGGAAGCTGGAAATTTCATCTGCACAGCTTTGAACAAGAAAACAAACTCAAAGGTTGCACAAGCTTCCTTCAATACTGGAACTATCAATTAAATGGATTTTTTTGGCAGCTTAATCACATTTGTCATCTACCTTGACCAAGAACATATCAAGAAAACAAATATAAAAAGACCATTTCAGCAAAGAACCAAAATAGAACCCATACATAACTTCTTATTATGAGAAGAGTTATTGTACTGTACTGTCAAGAATTGTCTGATTTGTGAGAAATAAATGACTAGTACAGAACCCTGTGCTTGATACTTATACAAGTGAAAAAAATGTAAAAACACCAGGACATATTACCATGTTTTAAATTGAATTTTAGTTCTTTTCAGGAAAACTGGATAGAAGCAGTGAATACATAGTTAATTTTTAATCAAGATGACTTCTAGAATAGTACAAATATTTACAGTAGTTTATGAGATCCCACACTGTGTGTGGCCGTTCTATTATGTGTTTTATTTATCTGAATCCTTACTTTTCATTTGTCAAGTTAGTTCTGTTATGAACATGGAGCCAAATCTGAATTCACCATAAGAATTTTTTAGCAATAGCACTTTTTTATTTTTTCCTTGTTTAACATCTGTTAAGTTATGGATGACTTTATCTTGTTCCAAGACTTTGTGGTGAATGGCAGTCTGCCAGATCCTCTGAATCTAATGCAAATTTCCTTATTTGTTACATATGTTAAATTTGTTGTAGTTACTTTTTTTTCATCAACTGTATTAAAACCTAATTATATGAAGCAACTGAAAATTGGCAAGGTTTTCAACCATCATTCAGGATAATAGTAGTGTAGAAGGAGCTAAATTTTTGTCCAAGATCTCATCAAACAATTTGATTTTTTATTCTATAGTCTATGAATTTACATTCTCACTTATAAGTCACGGGTTTTTGAGGATAATAATATTCTGCTAGGCTAATTGCACAAAGGAAACCACTTATAATTTTTTTCTGTGCTCTGCTGGTAATGATACTGTTCTTTTACATGTATTAGTTCAGCAAGATGCCAGTGAACTGCACTGTTATTTTTAGATTAATAATGGACAAATACAAAGAAGAGCCTTATCCTATCTATAAGCTGTTCAAATGTGCCATGAAAATATTGTCATTTTTTTAGCCTGAAACATCAGTACTGTTATTGATTGTTTGTCTAGGATCCTTCTGTAATTCTCTGTGTACTTAACCTTGATCTATATTTTTTCTGAACGTAATGTGTTAACATGAAAATCTAAAACCCTGGACTATGATCTTTTTCTATCTCCATTCTCCATTTTCCTCCAAAATATGAAAGGTTGGAAAAAGGTAAGATGAAAGAAAGTGAAAGATAACATGTAAAGAAGGAAAAGGCTGAATCATTTTTGTCTGAAACTCAACTCTGCCAAGTTACAGCTGAGTCTCAGTTTGCCTTTGAAATTCTGAAACGAATGTTTTTAGCCAGTGTTGTAGTTTAGAATTGGCACATCTTAAGAAAGTCAAACTCTGCATGCCAGGTAACTCAAAGCTATAAATTTGATATAAAACCCCTATCCTGTTTCTGCTGTAATGATAGTCAAAACTAATGTAAGCTACATTGTTCCACTCTTCTCATGGTAACACTCAAAGAGTAAGCAAAGAAATGTGTTCAGGTGAGGCAGGAAATATCTTGCCTATCAATCCAAAACACTAAATTGCACCCCTTCCTGTGGTACCTAATAAGACTTTCAGGTACTTTTAAAGATGTGAACACCCTGATTTTCTTGACCTGCTCTGGGTGCATAGTTGGATCACAGCAGAAAATACTCTGTCCTCATTTTCCCATGTTTCAGCTGGGGCTTTGTTATTTAGCAGCCACTATCGCTCATATATCAAAACATGAACTTTAATAAAACCAGATCTTGAACCATTCACAGATTTAAAAATTCTGTAATGAATTAGATCCAATGAAGAAGTAAGGAATCTGCAGCAGTATTTAGGCTGAACTTAGTGTAATAATTAGTAGTTAAGCCTAAATGAGATGCCAGAATTGACATCCTAAAGACTCCCTGATTCAAGTGCCATTTACCCCTGCAGGTGACTAGCCACACTGTAATACTTTTTTGTTTAACAGTGAATTTCCTCATATATTTAACAGTAATTTCCTCTTTAGTTTGCTTCTGTGCAGGCACAGAATTAGCTCATTTAGAGCCAAAATCTGCAGTTCTCATGTAGGGCCTGATGAATTTTCTTCCACCCAAGATCCTGTGAACATGTTTAACCAACAAGTAAGATTGAGGCTCTCAAAGAATGAAAGTGAAGTCACCCCTTGAAAAAAAGTAGTTGTGATACAAACAATCTTTTAAATATTAGCATGAATGTTGGACTAAACAACTGATCTGAGATTACCTTGCTACTGAGACGGGAGATTCAGATGCACATTTTATGGCATCCTAATCAATGGATCTAACCACCTGGCTATATTCAGAACTGAAAAAGAACGTGCTTTCTAGCAAATTCAGATGAGGTTGTGCCACTGGGCACAACTACTTACTGAGACCAGTAGGATCACAAGAAAAAAAGTCTCTGAAACAGATTATTTTTTTTCCTTGAAGATGGTGGAGAGAGCTTCAGCTGTAGGCCAAGTTAGGAACTGAACTGATACTGTCCACTTTTCTGATAAGTATACTAACTACAACACCTTAGATAAAAGTGAGTGGTTTCCCTACTACCACAACTTTTGTGTTAAATAAAATACTTATATAGAGCGTAGACTATAGAATAAAAGAACTAGCTCTGCTCAGTTCTTTGGGAGTTCTAGACGTCTGTGTTCCTAAGTACCATGAAGGATTGCTGCCTCTGGTGCCAAGAGACGCTTGCAGTCTGGAGGAATTTTCAGATATGCCTCTGCATAGTGCATCCTAGGCTTCTCAGCACCTGGGCTGTCAAGTTCAAAATTCTAAAGCTCTTAACTCTCCCTCTGAACTGATACAGGGTACCTATTAAATCGCAGGGATGAACAACCTGAAATGCCTCAGTTCTTTATTGGGTCTGTTTTAGAAACTACCTGGGAGCTTGTGGAGAGTTCTAAATGCAGGTCTGCTATTCTGTAATGATGTGAGCATTGGAAAAGATGAGCCATCACATCTGGAGCCCGTTCTTCACTCGCACGTTCAGCTTCAGCCACATAGTGAGTTATAGTAATCCAGGGTGGAGGTCACCAACAAATAGATTGTTTGTCAGGATCGTTACAAGGGAGGAAGAAACATAAAGCCAGATTCAAAAAACCCCCAGTGTTTATGTGCCAAAAGTGCCACCTGGGATGAATTTAGGCCTGTGGGTCCAGGTGAGCAATCCCCATAAAATCCTTCTTTACTTGTAGTGTGACTGAGGATCCTGAGACATCTCATGTTCTCGCTACTAAAATTTGTTAGGCACATAAAGTGCTGCTGCTCTGCTTTCCTAGGTGGGCATTATTTTAACATTTTAACTGCACAGAGCATTTTAATGCCCAATCTTTGGCTTCACAAAATAGGTGTATATTGCCCTTAAGATCAAGGGCTAATCCAGTAGCTATTCCATGAGCATGCATCACTCACATTGGCAGCATTGAATTCCACACATAATAAAGCAGCTGAGACTACATCCCTTCAAAACCATGGCAAGTCATGAGATAGTGCTACTGCTCTCCAGTGCTTCTGACTTTCTAAATATTTATGCTTATATTCAGAGTGACCCATTGCTAGTGGTGCCTGCAGGTGTTCTTATTACTATGTCATTATAAAAATTATATATATAAATATATATATATATATATTTGTTCAAAGGTATCAGGAAAAAGCAACAGAATGCTGAATATCATGATTACACTGTTGGAATGTGAGGACATGCTGTCTCCCTGTCTGTTTTGCTAATGATCCGCCGTAAATGCTGAAAAGGGGCTAACGTAAACTCTGAGAGCATGTGGGAGAGAAGTAGTAGTTACTGACTGCCTTCAGCAAGTATTGTGGGACACAAATTAGTTGTACCAAGATACTTACTTCTATGCTTTGGAGACTTTCTTCTGTATCTCACTGTATCACAGTCACTGCAGAGATCTCACAGAACAATATGGGATCATCCTACTTGTGCCATGGCCGTGGAGTATGTAAACTGGAGTTCCCAGGGCAGTCTTTGGTCTGTGAAGGTTCAACAGTGAACCAATGTGATATTGCTGGAATTTTCTTTAATACTTCTACAGTATTTTTTCCTGTGTTGTTGGCAATAGCTAGTAAGTCAAATAGTGGCTTCTTTGGCTGGTCAAGATACTATGTTATTCTAAAGGTATGGCTGGTGTGCTTTTTTGAAGGAGAATGATCAATGCCATTAGTAATGGGCATAATTGTTCTTCAGTGCCTTTCACAAAACAACAATGACATGAATCCTGTGCATGGATAGTGCTAATGCCTTACAGCAGCAGCTTCCTTTGTAGTTTAAACTTTGATGTATTAGGGCAACTTGGCTCTGGACCAGCACTTTAATGTTTCATTTTCATGTATAACCAGAGTTTATGGAAATAGGAAGTGAATATTCTGTTCTTGTGAATAAGTCCAGAGAGGCTTTGGCTAATTTTTCTTTCTTAATAGCGTCATTTGAGTTCATAAAACTTTTATTATTGTAATAAGGAGTCACAAAATGAAGACTGCAAGTCTGTGAGGTAAAATTCCCATGTTTGGGATCAGTGGTGGTGAAATGAAACACTACTTGTCCAAAGAGTTAGTTAAAGGTATAAGATCTGCCTATTTTTCATGGAGTTATTTTTAAGGGGTAGAAATATTGTTTAATTACTGTGACACTGAATTTTTCTGCGATTTCTCAGATTACCTTAAGTTCTCTTTATGGACTGTGAAGTGTTTAGAGAACTGACTGAACAAAACAATCAGTTTGGAGAAGAGAATGAACTTGTTTTCCAGTTCTTGACTTCCTGATCAATGCTTTTTGTTATGCTATATTTCTGAAGATTATTTTCCTCTACAGTCCTTCTTTAATGCAGTGTTGATCTTCATTGCTGCAATAACACAGCATGCAGAAGGACTACAGCCAAAGTCAACTTAGACCTTTGAAACTGATGTCAAAGAGATGATATGTTTGTTAAGGAATTGTCATGTATCCTCTTGGTTAAATGCATTTGTGATTTTGCAATATGTGGTGGTGTTAAAGCTGAAATAAAATCTATCTCAGTGTTTATTGAAACTGATATGCTTATGTATTACTACAGATTCAGCAGCTCTGACTAACCGGCTCACACATACTGCGTTAGCAAATATAAGCTGTCACTCTGACACGTATGCCTGTGTTGACTTTGTTACCTTGTAATCCATTTGGAGTGCATTTTCTTAGGATTACCTTTTTATCAGTTGTTCCTGTGTGCTTTTACAGATGACAAATCTCTTCTAAGTTACTAGGGAAACATTTCTTCCCTCCATTAACTAAACATTAAAAGCTACAGCCAGGAATGGAGGTAGGAGGTGAAAAATTCAATGAGGCACTATCTAACTTCAGATGTTCTGCTGCAGAGTAGAAATCTGTGCCCTCCTACACACTTCATGGGAGACTGAATGACTTCAGCATGTGGTCTGAAACATCAGCATGTTGATCAAAGAACTTTCTTGGAAAAGGCAACAGTAAAATTCCCTACTCCATGCTACCATTGAAATGCCTCAGCGTGAGCTGCAGTTAGTTATCTTCAGCTTGAATCCAACAGTTAGTATTTTTCCTGGTGGAAGGATACCCACAGTAATTTTTCTGAGAGAACTGAATGGTGTTCACACTTTTAAGGCACCCTCTTGGGGATGGCATTGGTGCTGCTTCCAGCCATCATCTGTGCTGCTAGCTTGAGCTGACACTGAGCTCAGAGTACCAGGATGGGATTCCCACAAGAGCCTGAAAAGGCCGAGCCCATGCCTGTCTCTCCAAGCAGCCCATTCTCTCACCTCACAAACAGGTGATACAGCTGAGGAAAATCTTCCTTTCGAAAAATTCAAGACTCACTGTGGCAATACAGGAGGAGTGGAGACTTGGACTTTACAGTCTTGTAGCTTCAATAATGCATAAGGAACAGCTAGTAGTGCATATTTCTCTCAAAAACTCCTTACACATTTAATTTGAAACAAGCTTTAAATAAACTGCATAAACAATCTTAAAAGAAAAAGCTTGAATCCAATATTCCCCCTTTCAAATGAGAGTGCTGTAAGGCTAAAATGTATGCCTTCTCCTAGCCCAATCAGTCTTCATTTCTTCACTTTGCAATGTCCTAGCTGCAATGGAAGAAGGATGGATGCTACATCCTTACCCAGAATGACCTATGTCCTAGGAATCCCAAGTCATCAGTGAAACTTAATTTTACTCATCTGGGAATTAGGTGCAGATATTTCCACTTCAGGGGAAAAGATTTTAATGATGAAGCTCTTACAAAGGTACTACTTCTTCTTCCATCATGAAACTGTTTCATGAAGCAGGTAGTCTAATCATGGTCACTTGAACACGGCAGAAATTCCTTTATTTAATAATTAATGACTAGATACAGTTGGCAGAATACAGTGTCACTATGAAATATGAATGAAAAGAATATATTTTACATGTATAATGGAGGAAATGTACTTTTTCCTTAAGCATGAAAATCAGCTCTAATGAAGAGAGCCTGTAAAATTACAGAAGCAACACAACAGCCACTAAATATCTCTCTGTCTTTCAGAGTGACTCACACACTTACCCTGAGTCAAATACATTTTACATACACGTGTGTGTGTATGTGTCTCAGCACATATACGAGTAGAGTTACTAATAACTCAGATAATTAGAAGACAAAAAGTTTATAAGAGAAAGTTACAAGAGATGTTTTTATGACTGAGGTTTATTTAAGTCTGAATATAAATGGATCTCTTCAAATTTTGTGACATAGAGGCTTCATCATTTCATCATTGTTTTTTGAAGTCAGACTGAAAATCAACACAGGGTTCACTTCATATGTATATTTCCTATATAATTTTTTTTTTTTATCCAACACTGATAAGAACATATTCTCAATAGTATTTTCAGTTTGAACTTTTTCCTCTTCACAGTTTTAAGATAAAGACTATTCATATAATACTTTCAAAATACCTTCATGGTGGGAGGTAAACTAAATGCTTCAAATCACTGGACTGATAAAAGAGATTGTTTTGATTAACAAACTAACCAACTTCACACTTTTCTGTGGTTTTTTTTTTTTTGTCCAAAGGCTGATTTAGTAATGAGATTGTATTTAGTAATGCTGACTTAGTAACGAGATGTATTTGATTGCAAAGCAAGAGGAATTTTTGGTTTTATGCAGATCCTAAAGTAGGAAAAAATGCATTTTGTAATATTTGTTAAAGATTTTTAAAACTCTCCCTAATATAATTACACACCTAAGATTTTGATCTCACAGTAAGTCGTTTCACAAACTACCAAAGCCAGAAGAAAAGTCACATTGAAGAATAGATATTCCTGCTCCTCTGATCACATCATAAATTTCTAGCCCTAGGTCTGAATCAGCCAGGGTCAAAACTGGAGCTGAATTCAGTGGAACCAGTATTTCATTCCTGATCCTATTTGTTGTGTGAGTTATGTTTAGTGGGAATTCAAACAAAATTCAAATTAATAAAATTCAAAATATCAATTTATCAGATGCTATCAAAACAAAACAATACATATGCTACTCATGGTAACAGTTGTATAAGAAATGCCAGTCCATTTTCCTGTGCTGACAAGACCCAGATTGTTACAGATACAACAAAGGCAACTATTTGTTAGTATATAGAAGCTTAAATCTAGCAAAGCAACTCAGCTACAGGGAGAAATCCAGAACTCATAGCCAGAAAGTGGGATCCAGAGTGGTGTGTTAGGGACCATGGCTCCCAGTACAGTGCACGGGGAGAATTAAGCACTTCGGGTATTGCCTGGAGACAATGAATAGGAAACACAGATGGTGAGACAGGTTGTAACTTCTCTCTAGAGAAGTAGGCACTTCAGTCTCAAGCAAGTGGCTCTCTTCACTGGGCATTCAGACCACAAAATGCTTTCTAAAATTACTGTATTCAAATTGGCAAGGCTCACTCATTTCTTTTTGAACATACTGGGGGAGAAAGAAAAAACAGCTTCAGCAACATACTGAGGTCAAGGCATTATAGTTAAAGCAAGATAGTCAAGAGTTTAATTCCTCTTTGTACTGAACGGGTTGTAATCCCGATCTCCTCCTACCCCACCAAGTGCTCCACCATCAAACTACAGGCAGCCTACCTGTGCCTGCTGCCTTATAAATATTGCATCAGGTACTTGGTACCTGGGAACCTAGTGTACAAAACTACCGCATATGTACTTTTTAACACCTCTATAAAATGCTTCTGAATGTATTTTTTTCCTTTCTGCCAGATGAGTTCAGATCAGAAGGGTTGGGTTTCAAAGATTGCCACTGCTAGGCAGATTCATGCTGATACAACATTTATACCATTGTCATGTCCATCTAAAGATGTGGGAAATGTGCAGCTCAGGACAGGTATGTGAACCTACGCAAATGCGAGAGAGCACAGTTCTACCTTGGTTTTTTTTTTTTTTTTTTAGCTTGTTAAAGGTTTAATATGTGTTAATAAATATAAAAATCTTTTTTATGCTCAACTACAAAATTCAATAATTTATAGTAGTTTTTCTAATATATATTTTATTATCGCATATGTACAACAGGCTGGCTTTCAAGAATAGCCTTAAAAAGCATAAGCAACAGAGTAGTTCATCTGTGGCTTTTATAATGGACCATAAATGTTTCAGAAGAATGATCTGTCGAGGTACTTCTTGACTCACGTTTTGTTCTGCAGGCTCTGAAAACAAAGAATGTGCATGTATTTAACAGTAAACTATATGGCTTTTGGTTTGAACTTTGGCTTAATTGAAATCAGTGGCAAAATTCCCCTCTTTTTATGATGAACACTGTGGTATAAAATAATTCCCTTCATCATTATTAATGTACTGTTCTTTCTTCCATCCCCTCTATTCTTTAAATCTGAGTTTTATTTATATGCTGATATTCCTGTAACTGCAAACCTAAAGAGAAAGCCTCTGTTCCCATATATCTTTGACTTGCCTTTTGCATTTTTCTGCATGATTCCTCTTTGATCTGCCTCTGAATTTAATAATGAAATTTGACTCAATATCCCTCCCACTGTATATAGCTCCTGCTACATCATGTTCTGTTACCTATCATCTGACAGTGTAATTCTTGAAATCTGGCCATTTAATTTGGTCCAAGAAAATGTATCATTTAAGAAAAGGCCGTGTTCATTTGGCTAAGTGAATGCACATTTCTGTTTTCTTACCAAGCACTGGTGTATGGGCAGTTTCTCATACTGTGTGTGTGGGAATGTTTACAGAATCCTATCAGCAAAAATGGAATTTGGCAAGATTATTAACTACAATAGCAGCATTCACAGTTAGGTTTCTAAATATGTTATAATGCTGAATATTCTCATTTCCTTTCTGCATTACCTCTGCCTGCTACAGGGCTAGGAAGGTAGCCTTGCAGAATTTTTGAATTCAGATTTCACCTTCCCCTGCCATGGGACAGGAAATGAAACCTCCTGCAGCCTGGAATCTCTGCATGAATGGAGGGCATTGTAGATATGTGTCGTATTTCACTCGTTCTTGCTGACACCCACAATGTCAGTTCTTTCCATCACTGGGGCATGCTGGACTGTTTTTAAAGACAATCACAGTGCCAACCTCTCAACTAAGTCAAAACATTTTATTCTCTGCTTTTCCAATTTCCTAGAGCCAGTGATTAATATGCCTATCAAATTACCTGATCTTTAGGAGAGTCGACAAGACTATTCCTAGGATGAGAACTACGCAGGAGGAATAGGCAATAATGTAGACTTTTTCACCTATAAGTAAAAAACAGAAAGCAGACATAAAACATTTACTTCCTCGGTAGTAAGAATCAGATTTGAGATCTGAATTGCAATGCATATATATGAAAGCTTAATTAGCAATCGACTCTGACATCAGTAATTAAAAGAGGGAAAAAGACCCATGTGGCATGCCAATGGTAGGAATAACTCTTCCTTCACCAGTTGGTGCAAAATAATTTTCAGAGTCCTTTTAGTAAATACCAGCTCCAATAGCACTGCATATGTGTAGCACTGCCTTTTACTCTGTTCCACTCCAGGGGAACTGCAACAGCTTGTTACTCCGAATTGTGTTTTGGAGTACTTTCCCCATTGATTTTAAGGTGTTAATTTTATTCTGTGTATCAGAGGAGACCTGGCTCTTGCTTACTTGCTAGACCTTTTTTCCTTTTTCACATATTACCATAATTGCAATGTGCAGCAATACTTGATCTAGAATCAAATTAATGTAAAATGGGATCTAGTGTTGCTTCTGGGCTCCATGCCCATGGAGTTTCCTCTTTCTCTTAGGCTTCTCACCAAGAAGTCACTTAGGCAGTTTCTGTGCTAAAAATTCCAACTCTTGAAAAACTGGGAGTTGTTTCAACTTCTGTTTTCCAAATGAGGAGAAACTTATTTTTCCTGAAGGAGTGAATCCATCAGTTTTGGTCAAACATTCAGAAGGAAAAATTTCAGCTGAGAATGTAACAATCCCACAACCTGGGATGGAGAGCTTAGACGACTTGACAAGAGGACTCAAATCCAGAGCCGCAAGCATAAAACATAAGACCTTTCTGTTACTTTCCTGTTGCACTGATTCTATCATGTTTATACAACTAAGTAAGTTTTGTTTAGACAGGAACTCAAATGCAGAGTGGCAAATAAGGCCTTAGCTGTTCCCAAGGTGTTCTACCTTACATAGTGAAATATTCACTGAAGAGATGGAGTCCCAGCCCCCCCACCAGGCTGCTTACCTGGGCTGTGAGAAGGCAAAATTCTTGTCTCTGAAACAGTTATCAGTTATTACATATTGTGTGTTTGTGCATATGGACACACAGACCCTAAATAAGACATTTTTGTATATACTACATATATGCAACAAATGCAGTCTATAGCATAATGCAAACAAAGGCGGTATAAATACTGGAGCAGCTCCAGTAAGAAAGAGTGAATATATATATTTTACCATGAGGGGACAAGTGAGCAAGAGCTGATCAGGGTGTTGGACCTACCTGGTTTTTATTATTATCACTTTTTCTCAAAAATATCCCCAAATCAAGTTTTCCAATAAAATAAAAATGAACACAATGACTGAACCATCACAAGTTGCACAGAGCAAACATACCACTTATGCAGCAAGCTACTGAAAAATATTTAATGTGGTGAATTTTTGAAGGAAGAAGGGCAAGATCTGTCTTAGTCTTGGTTCAGGACTGCTAATATCATACACTAAAAATATATCAGCAGTTGGCTCTCCTCTCAAGTTACATTCCCTTAAGATGATGAGTTCTAGAAAGAGAAAAATTTTAGTCTTTTTTGCTCTTTCTCAATGTTGATTGTTCACTCATTTTTTAAAACTTTCTACAACTGCAGGGGCAGTTGTAGAGGCAAGAGTTTCCTAGTTTTTTGAAGTGGAAAGTGAAGTTCACACATATCTAAAGCAAAAGGAATTTTTTTTAAGTACATCAATTACCACAAAACTAGGAAAATTAAGAGCAACGGTCATGGATGGTTAAGAATAGGCTAATATTTCACCAAAATATTATTTTTATTGAAAGAGTTGGGAGAAAAAGTCCAATTTTGATAAATCAAAACACTCTGAAATGATCAAATTAAACAAAAATGGTGTTTGGTTTTTTTTGTTTGTTTTTTTTTTTTTTTTTTTCAAAATCCTATAAAATGCTATGGTTCTGGTGAACTACTTGCTGGTAAAAGATATTGATTATAACATTTTCTGTTCTATGGGGAACACAAGAAAGATGTTAATGATGAGATCATGCTAGAAGCTATATATTTTCTCCTGCCTTCTGAGAAATAAGGCTAGGAGAGGGCAAAATTTTGTGGCTGAAGAGCTAATTCTTCATTTTAGGTATTCTTTCTGGTTTAACTACTTGAATGTGCTTATTCATCTTCCCTTAAAAATGTTGTTGAGATGTGTACTTCTCAAGTGTTCTCCTCTTCTTTAAAAATCAAAAGAAGCATTTTATATAAATTTTCACTATTAATCTATATCCGATCAGTTCTTGAAATGTGAAATAGTGCTAGGGAAGTTAAGAAATATAGATATGAAATTTTGGCTCTGTTCATCCCAAATCTTATCCATGAAAACTACTAGAATCCACATTTAAATTCCTGTATGTCATGATATTGATTCTCTGAACATGAACTAAATAACAAGTTAAGGCTTAAAAAGCAGTGCCCTAAACAAAGAATAAAAACCCTAACTGAATTTAGGCACAACAACCTTGGCTCTCATCTTATGTGCCCATTTACAGCTCACTGTAGAGCAGACAGATCAGTCACAAGCATTAGAAACACAGTTAAAAGTTAGAATAAGTTCCTATTCTTATCAGAAATGGTAACAAATGTAGTGTACATAACACGCCTATGTCATTACCCTTCTGAGGAACAGCTGTCCCTATTTCAGTACTTCAACTGATTGAGGTACAGAAGAGCAAGCCTGGTTTGGGTTTTCTGACTGGATGAGTACAACGATCTTGCACGTACCATGGAGAAAAGCACACGCAGCGTCTGAGCACCCGTAATAGGGGGTGGCTAAAGGACGAGATGTCTCCAGCTCAGTCCTGCGGACAGTGAATCGACATGAGCAGAGAACAGTCGTTTCCACTGCGAGGGGAGGGGCTGGCAGGGCTGCTGTGGGGGGCCTGTGGGGTGGCCTGTAGCCATGGGGAGCTTGTGGACCTCCTCACCTTGGGGCAGGTCTGTAGCAGGGCCACCATGGCCGCGTGGTACACGCCTTGCCCTTCGTGGGATGGGCTGCAAACCTCAGGAACACAACGACTGGGGCAGCAGGCACCACTGAAGTGCTAGCCAGAGCTCTCTTTATGGACACACGGACATTTCCAGTGACGAAGTTTGGTAGAGGATAGCCGTGGGCTCAGCAGCTGGAACAATTAGTGGGATTACACTCATGTAAATCCACCTGTTTATGTGTACCTAGTGAAATGGCTGTGAATATTCATCGGACAGATTAATTCCAGCTGGTGCTCAGAGATTTCTTGGCTACCCGCATCTCGTCACAGGTTTTTTTCTACGTTTATAAAACAATCAGACTGACAATGTTTCATACCTTACAAATTAAAGTTGCTGGAGCTGAACTAATCTCAGTTCCCACAGCAGCTGGTATAATTATAGATAAACCCTGCTAATTACCGGTTTATCTAGATTCTCACACAACAAAACTCCTCAGTGGGAAATATATGGTAACTCTACAGTTTAAGATGAAATTAGATTAATGTCAACAGTTTGGGGTCAATCCCAGTTTTTTTGTATTTCACAAGGACAGGATAAGAGTTCTGTATTTCTACCTTTCTCTTCCAGCCAAAAAATACTTTCGCTCCAAAGCTGTATGCTGATGAAAGTAAATGCTTATCTTCACAGATGAGTAATTTTTCAAATTAAAGTGTGGGAAACAATCTTTTAAATTATGTGGATCTTTAAAATCATGGAGATAATTTGCATAAGATAAAGTCAAAACCACACTCAGAGTGCATAGCTAGGTAGGCAATAAAAATATTTTTGAAGCTTGGAGAATTTTTGTTCGATTTAGCGTTTCTTGATGTTATTCCCAAAATGACATAAAATTCTGGCCCCATCTAAGTTTACAGCAAAAGTCTCATTAAGTTAGGACTCTGCCCACATCACATCTTGTTAACAGGGTTGTAGCAGCCCACAGACAACTGGGCTGGCCTTTACCCTCCTGGGTGTGTGAATGAGTGTAAATCCAGTCGAGATTTTTAAACAATACTGTTATCACACCAAAAGCTGGAATACTATTCTTCCAACTAAACAGGGTTATATTTATTTGCAAATATATATGAATATATGTATATAGATTTAGATTTGTTATTTATTATGAAAGACTCCTTTTATTAAAGTCAGTCTTACCCAATGGCATGATTTGCAATGCCACTGAATAGAATGGAGAAATCTTACTGTTTTTTCAACAGTACGTGTTTTTTTAATTGTAAAATTAAGAAAGGGTTAAAGAAATACTGAGTTTATTCTGAGCATGTTCATCTGTAGACAGTCATTAGTTTGGACTGGTGAAAGACATCCTTGTATCTTTCAATGACAAACTAAATAAAGGATTCTTCTGAGATTTTGATGTAAGAACAAGACATTGGCAAATTCTGTCTCCTGCTTTCCAAGCAGAAAATAGCCAAGAAGCAAATATCTTCAGATATCTTCATACACACAAAAGGCCATATTTGACAACTTAGCCATTTTGCCTCTGCACCCTGGGATTCTTCTTGGGATTTAATTTCAGTAAAGATAAATATTTTGTAAAGATGATAGCTCCCTTTGCAGCCTGAGTAATGCACATTTACTAGCATATGAATCTAGGATACTGGGTTAGATTTTTGGCAGTGGGATTTATGAAACAATTTGCAATATGGTTTTTATCATCAGGTATATACCCTGAATCAAATTCTTCTCCTTGGCCTGGCTTCTTATGAGACATTTACAGCTTAGAGATTTCCCAGCTAGTGGACATGACAGCTCCAATAGAAGGAATATTTTATTGTATGGTTTAGGCTGGTCAGCATTCTTTTTATTTTTCTAAGGCTATCCAAAATTCTGTTAAGAGTTCAAGGACAGGTTTCTGGAAATTATTCAGACTTCAATGGGAACAGAATTAACTGGGTGCAGGCTTCATTTTACAAACATTTATCTGAATCTCTGAGGGAAAGTTCTGCAGTTAGAACTAGTCACAAGGGTGAAATATCTCACATTTTACATTTTCTCACTTAGGGCAGGATTTCTTGCATTATAACTTGCATTTCTTAACCACCAGAGTCTCATTCCAGCTAGAGATTCAGGCTCTGCCTGTAGTTGGCAAAGAGAAGACAAGACTTCCAGGACGTAGGAAATACAGTCTGAAAAGGTGGGATTAATCTTCTTCTGAGGGTCCCTGACTTTTTTCTCTGGCTACCCAGAGCACTTAGATGACATGCATGATTCATAGGTAAGTAATTTTAATGCTAAAATTACAGCTGAATGCTTCATTACTTACATACAGGTCTCAGGAATCCTATTCCCATTAATCTACTGTTATATTTCCCAGGTTGCCCACTTCAGCAATAGTTGAAAGATGGAGATCATGGAAACCCCTTCATTTTGTACTGCATGCAGAGCTTGAATTATCTTTTCACTGTTAAAGGTGTTTAGTAGGAACAGTTCTGGGAACTAATTCATAGTAATGTCTGGATTATTGTAATCTGCCCCGTGCAAGGTAGAACAGGTCATTCTATTTAGAGTTGATATTTGTGCATTAAGCTCTTTAGTGTTCTCACTCTGTAACTGAGTCCTTCTAAAGGAAATATAAAATTAATATTATTTCAACCATGAGAAAATTTGTGTATTAATTCAATATCCTATAACTTGATGTCACTTAATTGCTCCCGTAAATAAATGGAAATAAAACCAAATGCAGCTCTATAGCCCATGGGATATCATGATCCGCAATTATGTCCCCTTCTGTTGCACAAGTAGGTAAAGTCTGATGGAGTGTAACACAAATGCCTTCTCAGATCACTTACTATGGCTTCCTAATTTTTTTGTTGTAACCACTATGGCACAAAAAGTCAAGAGATATAAGAAAGAAGTAGCTGTGACATCAGAGATAATATCTTGTATTACACATTATGACTACTACTCTCTAATGACTGTACAGAGAGTCAGTCTCTGGTGGGCCTAGTAACTTAATTTTCTCCAATTATAATATAGTGGTTGTGAGACATCTTTTTCAAAACCACTTAGAGGAATTGGTTCAGTCTCATTATCTTTATTTTGTGGTTATATAAACTAAGCCAAACAGGTAGAGAGATTTTACCACACTCTGTTAAATGAGGGAGTGACAGGTAGAGCTCACTTGCCTGAACCCACCCAAGGGACCCAACTTTTAAGTCTTCCCTATGATACACGAGGGAAATATCAAGAGTACTTCCATTAAAATCATGGGTTGATTTGCTCAAACTCACCGTTAATTGAAGAAGAATGGAGCTGTTCTCTGGAAAGCTTTTCTCCTGGTATTTTTGTATTTAACCAACGAAAACCTTTCTTCTTAATGGAAATTCGACCTGAATATTGGAAAGATAATACCCATTCAAAATACTACTTTAAAATAAAAATTTAAGCAAATTTTGATAAGAGTCACTGAATTTATAAGGAACAGCTATTTAAAAATATTGTTTACTGATACTCAATGAACAAAGTGACTGAAAGTTCTTCCTTTGACATTTCTGTTATACCTCCCCTGTAGTTTATCTTATGGGGGAGAAGTGTGCTTTTAAAATAGTCTCTCCCTCAAAACAGCTTCAATTCTCTTTTCACAGAAACAATTTTAGAAATAGGCCCACCAAAATAAGTAGGCCCACCAGACCAATATAGAAGTGATGAGAAATGGGTAGTAGTTTGAAACCATTTCCAAAAAGCAAAGCTTATTTTCCAAATGAATTGCTAGACCTCAACTCTTTCACAAAGGTCTGTCCTCTTTGTGGGCATATTTTCACTAGTATATCTGAAAATACATATCTTCTGTTGAGACGACAAATAAGACGTCTACCTAAGTAGAGCAGTTTACAGAGCAAGAGGCTAAACCGTGCAAGAATATTCATGGTCACTCACATGAACTGTAAAATGAGAAATTTTTATTCCTTAGGGGAATTAAAACAATATGACAAAGACTCAGGTTTGCAGCCTGGAATGTCATCTAAATAGCAATGGACTAAATCTCCTTGTAATGTAGCATTTCTATGAGATCCAAAAGTACAACCCAGAGTTAAAATATTTTTGGAAACTTATTTTTTTATTTTCTGTCACTGGCATTTTTGCTTATTCCTGTTGTGACACCAATCCTACATTGGCACTGATCCATGCTGTGCTTCTGTCTCATATACTCACAGTTCTTACCTTTTGTTGAGTCTGCAGCAAGCTTTAATCCTGTAAATGCAGCCCCAAGAGCAAACATTTGTAGCAAGGCAGTGCCATACAAGAGTAGGAAGGTGTGATGGTGTAGACACCACTTGCAGGTCTGTTTACACCAGTTCTAGAGGCAAAGATCCCTTTTGCTAGCCCTGGGTATTTGCCTGTTCAGAAATACTTCAATGTTAAAAGTCATCACTACTGTAAGAGTGAAAGTTATCCAAAGTCAGAGCCCAGGCCAAATGAATAAGTTTGCAGAAAGGGTTGGATGAGGTCTGCACCAGAGCACTCACTCCACATCTCTGAACTGCAATGCAGATATTGCTGTTTAACATGGCACCTTACAATCAAACCCATAATCATCTCTCTCTTCAGTTTAGCTGCATTACAACAAGACATCTAGAAAAAACAAAAGCAAGATTCACAAGAGTGCAAATGTTCTGTAGAGTAAACGCCGATCCTTTACTCCGCTGAAGGCCCTGGATCCCCAAACTCTTCTTGTTTAACTAGCAAGAATTCATTTCAGCACAGGAGCAAGCAGGCTTCTGTTCTTCAATCTCAATTAGGTTAGGGAAGTTTCCATCACAAAAAAACATTTTATCCCGAGACTGCTTCAGGGAATGGCAATATCTGATGAGCATTATTTGATTATTATTATATGAGCATCATCTTTCTGCTTTATAGGTAAAGAATAACTAACAATGGTGTGATCACTCATTTGGACCATTAGATGCAGCCATAAAGCAAACAAACAAATAGTGCTCATCAGCAAAACACCACCAGTGTAGTCACAAATCTAACAGTCTTACAGTATCACTTTTCCAGGGAAGCTGGCAAGTGATTTTTAAACTTTTCTTGGAGTCTGAGTTCTAGTAGCAATTAACTAAGCTTAAGAGCAGTGTTTTAGCAACTTGATTTTAATTTCTGGTTATACTTTGACTGACAAGAAAAAATTACACCTTTATCAGTGGTAACATTTTGGCTGCTACCACTAAAAAATTACCTAATTCATTCAATGAAATGCATACATGCAAATAATACATGGAACTATGAAATAGTCATTGCTTTTCATCGAAATCTTTAGATACAGTTACTTCTCCCAAGGTTGGGAATATACATAATTACATATAGAAGATGACTGGCATAGGGTATGATGCACTAACAAGTAGTGTATCTTTAGAGGATAGCAAAATATCTGGTGTGATATAGCAGACATTTGAGAAGAAGAGGGTACTTTGGTCTTTAATCTGGTCCATGGACCGGATACCTGGATTTATCTGGAGCATTGCAGAGGCAGCAGATGAACTTTCAGGTTCAGTTTTAGGCTGCAGGAGACCAGGAACCACCCTGTGATGTGACCCATGGCACAGTAAGTAGGGACAAACAGGGGATTTGTTTTGAAGGCACACTCCAGATTCAGACTAAACCATTAATATTTGCTTTCATATTGCCAGTCATTGTGCTAACAATTCTCTCCTGAACAAAGACTTGGCAAGGACTTTTATATTTAACAAAAATAAGTGGCTGATTTAGCACATGAAAGGATTTACTGGTTCTGAGAACATACATACATTTAATCCAAGTTAATCCCAGTGTTTTTACTGAAGGCCAAATGCTGAAGCCTCCTTTCACAGCAGATTTTTCTTTGTGAGGTCCTATTTAAATCATCAAAGTTACTTGCTGTGGAATGAAGTCTGTTGCTAAAGGCATGTAAGCTATACTAATATTTAGACTCCAAGAAGAAAAGAAAGAAAAAACAACATAATGTGTCATATTACATAATGTGTCATTACAGTGCTGTTTAACATCTTTGCTGGTGACACGGACAGAGGGATTGAGTGCACCTTCAGCATCTTTTCCAACCACTCCAACCTGTGTAGTGCAGTCGACACGCTGGAGGGAAGGGATGCCATCCAGAGGGACCTTGACGGGCTTGAGAGGTGGGACTGTGCAAACCTCATGAAGTTCAACAAGGCCAAGTGCAAGGTCCTGCACATGGGTTGAGGCAATCCCATGCAAAAATACAGGCTGGGAGATGAGTGGAGTGAGAGCAGCCCTGCAGAAGAGGACTTGGGGGTGCTGGTTGACAAGAAGATCAACATGACCTGGCAACGTGTGCTCTCAGCCCAGAAAGCCAACGGCATCCTTGGCTGCATCAAGAGAAGCATAGCCATCAGGTTGAGGGAGGTGATTCTCCCCCTCCACTCTGCTGTTGTGAGACCCCACCTGGAGTACTGTGTTCAGCTCTGGGGCCCCCAACATAAGGAAGTGGACCTTCTGGAGAGAGTCCAGAGGAGGTCACAAAGATGATCAAGGGGCTGGAGCACCTATTCTGTGAAGATTACCTGAAAGAATTGGGGTTGTTCATCCTAGAGAAGAGAAGACTCTGGGGACACCTAATAGCAGCCTTCCAGTACTTAAAGGGGGCCTACAGGAAAGCTGACCTTTTACAAAGGCATGTAGTGGTAGGACAAGGGGCAATGGCTTTAAACTGAAAGAGAGTAGATTTAAATTAGTATTTGGAAGAAATTCTTTACTATGAGGGTGGTAAGGCACTGGCACAGGTTGCCCAGAGCAGCTGTGGCTGCCCCCTCCCTGGAAGGGTTCAAGGCCAGGTTGGACGGGGCTTGGAGCAACCTGGTCTGGTGGGAGGTGTCCCTGCCCATGGCAGGGGGGTTGGAACTAGGTGATCTTTAAGGACCCTTCCAACCCAAACCATTCTATGATTGTATGATTCTATGATACTATTTGTAAAAACACTGTACCAAAGTACAACATTAAGGCAATGACAGGGAGGCTTTGGAACTTTTCTAGTCTGCATAATATTATAGGCCCCAGAAATTATTCCTTTGTTGCTATTCCAGCAAGTTCATGTAATGAGACATGTATTTGATGTTACTGATTTGTTACTAATAGAAAATATTTCCCCAAACCAAAAAAAAAAAAAAAAAAAAAAAAAAAGAATTTGATTAAAAAAACAAAGATACAAATCTTGCTGAAATCAGTGACAGGAAAGTTATAGTAAACATTTGGTGGAAGTCAGTATTTTAATACTCTTTAAACCTGATTATTCTTTAAAGTATTATGTGTTACTCACGTAACTCAGTGAAGCAGGATTTGCTGTGAAGCATGTGATGGAAGAGCTTGCACAAAGACTGCTCCGCGGGAGGTAAATTCTGGCAGGTACACTCCATGCGCAGCATCGTGCCCCAGTTGCTAATGTAGGCTGCTTTGCAATCAGCATTTGCAGAACAGGGGATGTCATCCTTAATTAAAGTTTCAAGACAAGCTTCATCATTGTAGCATTTTTTTGTCATATGTCTCCAACACTTGGACTGAAAAGATGTATATTTTTTCCTGGTGGAAAAAGAGAAGTATACAATGACAGTTTAAAAACTCTGTGATTTCAAAAAATGACATGTAAATATCATCATGAAAAGAGAATGTAGTCCCTAGGTACCACTCAAGCCTTAAAAATCACAATATTCAGTGATAGCTGGTCTAAATTCTGCTCCGATTTGCACCTAATTGGTTTGAGTGAAATCTGCAAAATTGTAATTGGAGGAAAATCTTGGTTTTAGCAAAAAGTTTTTGAGAAAAAGGAACTTCTAACCAGCACCTGTAGACATTTTCCCAAGGTCCAGCAAAAATCCATGTGAATACCAACAGTCTCAGATCCTCAGAGAAGAAATGTGAATAGAGGAATTAGACCAGTCAGCACAAGGAAACCGAAACAGGTGTTGTTCTAGTGGATCTGTTTGTTGGCCCGTCTGAAGGAAGAATGAATATTCAACTTGTTTTACATAAAATAATCTACATTCAGTGCTAACACCTCCTCCGCCTGAATGCTAATGAAATAAAAAATGTTCAAGGCTCAGGAAAAATCAGAAGTAATTCAGTTGACCTTAAAGATTAATTGATAGCAGAGATAAGTTACGAGAAGAATTAACTTGTTTTCCAGCTCAATAATATCAAATTATTTTAGTTTATTTTCTCTTAGGATAGAAAAAAATTGGCCTTTAATGCTCTATGTATGACAATAGAAAATATCTATTAAAAGTTAACTAAGAAATCTGTAGATATTAGTTAGAAACAAATTTATCACTTACATTAAATGTTAGTGGACAGTAAAGGTAAACTGTTGTATATTGTACATTAATATGTTAGAACATTATTTCCTTAATCATAAAATTAGGCTATTAATTTACTATTTCTATTGTGTAACTGTAACAAGCAAGTCACATGGAAAAACATGGATTCTTATAATACCAGCTAGGACATTATTGTAAATATTTTCATTACACAAGCAAAGGTTTCAAAGCAGATGTCACCTCTGTGCTAATGGAATTATGTTTATTCACCTCCTGATTTATAGATATGGCTAGCTATAATTCACAGACTAATTTTGCTAATTATATCCACTTATTTTCAGTGCCAAGAAACATTAATGTTCCCAAAATAATAGGTAATTCAGCAAGTCACCATTATGATATTGCATGTGTACACATGCACATGCACAGACATACATTTGTAACCCAATTCTTCTTGACATAAAAAGGGGCAATTCCCACTGACATCAACCTGAGTAGCCTGCACAGAATTAAATCATCTTTTGTCCTCCTCATTTGTTGACTAAAGGTTAATTTGTGCACAGCTTTCAGGTAAAATTCAGGTCTAATCCACAAGGGAACTGGTGACTACACTGAAAACCAAAGTGAGCCAACTGACCATGCACAAATGGTGGCAATTAAGTAGAACTACAAATATGGGCTGATCCTGTTGTGTGTTTTCTCAAATAAACTAAAATCTGAAAACTCTGTTATTCTTCATTAATTTGGTGGTCTGTGCATGTTTCAGGGCAGCTTTTTTCAAGTATCAGTATGCTTGAGATGAAAAGAATATGACAGTTTTCCGAACAGGCCAAGTTGGTTGTATGGCTGTTGGGTACAAAGGGTCAGACTCTGCAGTGGAAGAGGTAATTACTTTAACCAAACAAACTTTGTCCAGTCTGCTGCACAATTTGTGCAAACTGCTAGAGGGCAAAGGTGCAGACTGGCAGGTGTTATCTGAAGAAAATGGTAATGAAAATATGCAACAGCACAGTTTGTCCAGCAGAAATAGTGTTAAGAGTCATAAAAGAGGCAGAAGCAAAGTCCACACTAGATTCTAGACCTTTCTGAAAATTAACCTTTTCAGTTTACTTGTGGAATTACCACAGCTGATGCAGACATCTGTGAAGATGAAAACATGAGTGATAATATATAATAGATACAGAGCAGAAAAAAATTTTGCTATACATGAGATATATGGCGCATATGTAAAAATGATTTAATCAAATCTTTATTCACAGGAACATTACTAGGCAAAATCTTCCTTCTACTTACCTACAAAACTCATTCTCTTCACACATGTGGATTACATTCAGACATGATGGGGGTGGAACTGTAGTAACTGCGCAGGGTTTGCCATGGAGAAGTTCTTTGGCTCTGTGGCAGGATTCATCAGGCTGGACACAGTCACAAAATGTAAGCATTTGGGCAACTTCAAAAGGCATATTTCGATAGAAGAAACTTATGGCTGCTTGACATTCTTCCATGTTGCACTTCTTATTTACTGAGCAAAACTTAAGGTACAGGGACAACTGTTTGTTACATACTTCATCTTCAACACACTCCTTGTTCACATCCAAACAGGTTCTGTTTGCTGTGTATGCTAAAAAGAGTAACAGTTTTTAAAATGAAATCACAAGAAAACCTTTCTCAAGTGATGATCAGTTGTCATCATGTCTGCAACATTCCCATTAAAACCAAGTTTGACTCCCCAAAACTCTGATCCAGCTCTGCAAGTTTCTGCCCCCACCAGATAAATACAGGAGAATAAAGTGAAAACTGGCAACATGGAAGTTTCTTCATGGTATGTAATAATTTCTGGAAGATAGTGGCTAGAAGATACCTGAAACTGCTGAAATCTCCATCATGCAGTCTTATGCTAGGCTACATAGTAAATAGTGGAGAAGATAATATAAATGGCATTTCTGTGCTTTTAAAGCTAGTTTAGGTTTTTTCCTAGCCTATGCTATAAACCTTCCAAAAAGATCTAGGTAATGACCCTAAAATGTTTATGGGATAAGATTTGCCTCTGTAAATTTAATAGTATTAGGATTGTTACCTGATATTTCTGGATTCTTCTCTACCCAGTAGCTTAAGTGAAAATATGTTGGATCTACTGACTGCCTACTCTTCAGTGATTTGAATGGAAAGTATTAATTTCAATCTCAAAATACATTGTACACTATCTGAAACCAGAACTAAAACTAGTTATTAGGATTCATAAGTAAATTCAGACTTACCTTGGTTGGACAGAGCAGATAAACTCCATTGTAATTTTGTTTCTGTACTAATATTATCTAGAAAAAGAAAGATACAGATACAGGCATAAGTGATAAATCATGTCATAGCTTAGTTTTTAACTTTAAAGTATTGGCTGTGTTGCTGGCACAGTGCCAGTAGTAAAAATAAACAAGAATAAAATAAATTAGCTTGACAAAATAGAACCTGTCAGATTGCTAACAAATTCTCAAATAACTGTTACATATATTCATAAGTTTTGGAGTGAAATCACAGTTTATCAGTGGCTGCTGATAACATTCTCTGTATACTTATAGATCCTGGGAGCTCGAGAAGAGTTTCTAGACCTGCTCAGTGCAGTACAAAGCCGTATTTCTTGTGAATAAATAAAGGCCAGAAGCCTTAATGTGTTCATCAGTGCACACAGTTTTCAACTAACTGCTTGTCATGGTTTAAAGTCAAGGTGGGCAGACAATTCCTGCTATTAGAAAATTATTGTTATTGGTCTTATATTGTTTCTAGTTATTATGTGATACTAAAAGGGACTGATTTGGATCAGGTCATATCAAATTAATACATTGAAGGACAATAGTATTTGCACTTAGGCTATCATTTTGCTATCAGATTATTCATCTGCATCTAAATAAGCTTCTTAAAACTATCCTGTTTCTAATGTTAAACAGCAAATAATTAAGAAAACCTTTTTACCAGACTTGTACACACTTCTGTCATGTATGAAAGCACTCCAGCTGCTGGAATACCCCTAACCTGTGTCAGTGTCCTGATTTTTCTCATCATCAACATCATCATCGTCATCATCATCAACACCATCAAGGTTGTCATCATCATCATCATCATCATCATCATCATCATCATCATCATCATCATCATCATCATCATCATCACTTTCACTAGCTGCTGAAGCTTGGCTTTCTTGAGAGTATTGTAAACAAGGATTGTTAAATATTCCCCTCCATATTTTAACGCATCTCATCTGAAGTGGCTCTGAGCACTTGCACTCTCCCAGCACTGTTTTCCTCAGTTCTTGTCCCGCTGACAAACACTCCTGCTTGACCCTCGGGAGCCTGCATTTTGCTGTGTCCACCTTGCACGCTCGCTGGAAGCTCTTATAGACTAAAAAGCAGTAAGGGTCCTCTTGGCAGCGTTGTTTTGCAATACTGCAGTCGTTCTCTGATTCTTCCGGGTGTCTTTGGCCTTTGACATTTCTGTGTTGCCTAAAATTCTGTCCAGCGTCTGATCTTGAGGAAGTTTCCAAATATTCTGTACAAATAGGTACAAACAGAGATATACATCAAATGGAAGAGAGGGCATCATCACTGGTCAGCTCAAAACAAACTCAGGAAAAGGATAATTGTCTTAATGCAGTAAAATGAATGAAATAGCCCTATTTTCATTCTCAGATGTACATAAAAATATAATAATTTTGGAGTTTTGCAGGTTAATGAATCTTCCTCATGCTTACTGTGTCCTCATGGCTGTATAATAGAATCTACTTTAACAGTTCAGCTGCTAACAGTAACACGAGAAACTCTCACTGTAATTACTGCATAAAGAGATTCATCTCACATAATTTTAACCACAGATTAGACATATCGTGGATTATCATCTTAATTCAATGCATAATTTGTGAAGAGAGAATGGCAATTCCAGAGAATTGTTCATTCATTACCTAAAATAGTCATTTAAATTAGACAGGGAGAATTATTCCTGAAAGTATCTACCAACACCATAATCTATCATGTATAGGTAAAACCAATACTAGTGTAACTCCACTCAACCTTTTTGCTATACTGGTTAAAAATGTAATCTCAATCAGCAAAAAATATAAAATTACTTCATTTTGCCAGAAGCAAAAGCAACTGTTCCAATGACATCAACATCAGGTTTTAGATACCCACTCTTCTTGTTAGGGGCAATGAGTAACAGATCAGGATGTTATTATTTTCTCTATAATAAAGCCATATATTCTACTACTATATGACGTACACTGATTGGTGCCAGGAGGGAATGATGGATCAATGCCAGGAATCAAACTTGGGGATCACGTTCCAGACTCTCATTTATTGGCTGATTTTGCCTTTTTTATGTCAGCTTTGTTAATCATTACTTTAGGAGACATTGGATCAGAAACTGCAAGCCTTTCATGCACCAAATAATTCTCAATTATAGAAACAGATTTTCTGAAGGGAAGATAGTTCTCAGGATAATAAAAAACAAATTCAGAGGAGATGGGCGCATTGCTTACAATAGATTTTTTTAAAAGGATGAACTTTATATATTAAGTACAGCTTTATGAAGGCAGTAACTACTTCCCACATCCATTAACCTCTCCTAGATGTAGTGAAGATGTTCCTGTAACACAGTGTGGCACAACTGCAGAGCTGTGCATCCCCATTCACCCACACTCCCATTCACAAGGTAGCTGGATGTGGCTCTCTATACATAACATAGATCCAGTGGCTCTCAAGCCTTCTTGCGCAACAAGTAGACCTCAACACGTCTTATTTTCACTCTTGCTTTCCATTGGATTGAGCAAAAGCTTTAAAACCCATTTGAATATATCACATGCCTTTTATTGTTTTTTAATTTTATTTTAGAGCACATATAGCATCGCTTTCATATGCATATTGGTGTATGAATAACATAGAAAAGACAAAACTATTTTTTGGGGGGAATTATCAGATTTGAGAAATATGCAAAGAGACTTGAAACCAGTTAAAATGAGGGTTACAAAACTGCATATTTCTTTTTGTTCTTCATAATTAATTCTTTATGTTTAGTTACCTTTATCAATGCTGCACTGTTTCCCAAGCAAAGTCGTGATGCTACAAAAATTGTCTGTAGTGCAGACACAGGTTTTAAATTCTGGGTATTTGTCAGCCAGGACCTGGATGATTCTATTACATCCAATAGCGTCTTCTGCCTTGCACCTATTACCTAGAACTTATCATTAAAATTATAATGTTGTTAATGTTTATGAATGCTTAAGGGATACGGTTACATAAAACAATTCAACTGAGGCACAAAAATAATATCTTTTGCCCAGAGAAGATGGTTTGAACTTAGTTTTGTTTGAAAACCTGTCATAATTTACAAATTTTAAATAACATTCAGAGGGATATAATAAAGTTGTGGGTATGATATTGCCTTCTTTTATTCTATCTATCTGATGCATTGCCAGAACATCTTTTTCTGTTCTCATTTCCAAAGTACATAAAACCTTAAACTCATACCTTTTATTCTACGTAGATGATGTACAGCAACCAAACTAAAAAGGTGCACATGAGTTGAGGGGCACATCCTGAACTGAGGCAGAGACGCTCATCTGTGTGGAAGTTAGGTGGTTGGTACAGGGGCGGGAATTCACAGTGCGGGGTAAGGTACTGCCGTGTAACCGAGTAAGAGAGGGGACGCGGGAGGGCAGGCGCAGTCCCCGGTGATGGTGGTGCTAACCCCGTCCTGAGGGATGCCGGCTCCGGTTCAGATCCGTCACTCACGTGAGGATGACACGAGCCTACAAATGCCTGGCCATTTGGATATGCCCTCGGACTGCTACCCTGTAGAAGAACTTTGCTGCCTAAGTTTGGCAATGACAACAAATTTGAAATAGCCCAAGGATATTCTGATTTTTATTTTTTTCATTATAAAAATAAGGAGGAATTTAGCATTAAAAAAAAATTACGCAGAAGCCTGGGTTGCGAGTCCAGTTTCAAGCCCGTTGCTTGCATGTGCACTTGGACTCAATGACAAAGACACTCACACGGGCTGTCAGGTCATATTTTCCTTGTATGCATAGTAAAAATAAAGTGCATGTACTAGTTTGTGGTAAATCAATTAACCCTCTATTTTATAGGCTACAATGTTTTAAAACTATTTCATTGTAATTGCTTATAGAACTTACTGAAGAAAGTTACATAAGAATCAATTTAAGAAAATTATGTAAGAAGCAATTTAATACCATTTAAGACAATTTTATTTTGTGAAAGCCATGGTCTACTTTGTCAAAACAGGTTTGCAGGGCCCCACACCAGCACACTGCCTCTCTTTGCCTCATAGGTATTAAGTATCTCACAATCTGTAAGATAAGGAGCATGTGGCTCGCAAGATCCAGCTGGTCACCGGGCAGCACGAGGATCGGTTTTAACCTACCGCGCACATACGCTATTGTCTCTGTCCTGTCAACGGTGATGGCTGGCTTCCTGCCTCGCTGCTTCCCTGGTGACTGGCGTGGAGCGGCAGAGACCGTGCGCTCGGGTGGAACTGCAAAGCTAGCAGCCACGTGTCACGGCTGCCACGGGCAAGCTTTAACGTGGTTAGAGTTCTAATGTCATTTCTGTGTCGTTGACACAAATAGCAGCAGAAGGCAACGTAAGCAAAGACCTGCGAGGGGAAATAGTGCATTTTGGCTGTGCCTGAAGGAATGAGTATTAGCTGTTCCAGAGCTAATACATCCCCGTCCTGCCACTCCTAAATCCTTTTTCAAACGGTGTCTGCATTGCCTTTTCTCCAGTTACTGTTGCTGACTGAGGGGGGTTTGGGGATGTATTAAAATGGGCAGTTCTACAGGGGGAAGTCGCAGTCTGGAAAGAGCTACAGCACCCAGCCTCTGCTCCCACCTCACCTCTTGAATGAGAAAAGGAAGAGGTCATGGTGCCCAGCCTTGTGTGTATCTCTCCAACCCCATCTCCAATTTGCCCTCTGCATTTTTAGAAGTAGAGCGTGACCCTGACCCTTAGCCCTCATATTTCTTTCTTTTTCCAGTAGCCAAGGAGCTCAGGAGATCTAAGTAGAAGTTACTGAAGGTCATAGACATAGGACACTCCCTGACCATAAAGATAGGATGGAAAGTATGTGGTGACATGGGAACCATGGAGGCCCATGGAGGTGGGTGGGTGGATATTCTACTCTATATGTTATCAAGTGAGTAAGGGATAATAAAAGGGTTTCAGGACACAATTTCAGGAGGACAAATTCCAGGGCTAGAACAAGAGCAACAAAGATCAGAAGGAGCTTGTGTAAAAATTAGCTAATTTACAAAATTTATGTCTGCCTTCTTCAAGGTCCTGAGGACACTTCAAGGATGGAGGTTGTAGAGACAGAAGAATAAGAAATACAAATCCCACTATATTTTATGCAGCACCCCAGCCTCACTTAGCTCACTTATCTTCACGACACTAACAAGTTGTGGTTGGGAGTCGGGTGCAGGGGCTGTGTTCAGAGTGGCCCTGTGCGCTGTGAACACACTGCGCTGAATCACAGTAGCTGACAACCAGGGGGTGAGATGTGGGTTGTGGTGTTATGTACATACAAAGGGCACAGACAGAATCAGGAAACACATCAGATTTATGGGGTTCACTTGCCTGGCCTCTTGAAAGTTGTGTAGAAATAACCTATTATCAGTATTGGTCTGTTTGTTCACTGTGTTGATTCAGCTGTGATGAACAGCAGAAAATATTTTTTTGCTGGTTTTCAATTATTGTTGCTCTATCATTGATTAGTTCTAGGCAATATATTTTAGTTTATACGTATGCTTCCAAGGCATTTACAAAAAGTGCTCTCTGGCCTAATGCTTGGCAGGCATAATTTGTTTTATTTATATGTACATAATTTATGTACGTGGGACCACAGATAGAAGCATGACAGAATAGTAGCTGACACTTCCAGGGTGATAATCTCTGTTCTCACACAGTCAGTTCTTCAGTCATTTCAGTGGGAATAGGATCTGAAGACTGTGGAGTACTGAGTTTTCCCCTCTAGCACTGTTAAGATCATGTCTGGAGTGCTGTGCCCAGTGCTGGGATCCTGAGGACAAGAGGGACATGGGCATACTGGAGTGGGTCCTGCACAGTGCCACAGATGTGATTAATGGACCAGAACATCTGTCTTTTGAGGAGAAGCTGAGAGCTGGGACTCCTCAGCCTCGAGGAGGGAAGGCACACATATCTGTATGTATAAATACCTGATGGGAGGGGTTTGAATAAAGCAGGGACAGACGCTTCAGTGATATCCACTGACAGGACAAGAGGTACAAACTGAAGTACAAGAAATTCTATTTAAAGGTCAGAAAAAACTTTTTTACTGTGGGGATTATCTAACATTGGAAGAGGTTTCCCAAAGGGGTTTTGGTGACTCCATCATAGGAGATATTAAAAATCCAACTGGGCACAGTCCTGGAAGACAACCTGCAGTTGACCTTGCCTGAGCAGAGGGGGTTAGGCTAGATGTCGAGAGATCCCTTGCAACTTCAGTGATCCTGTTTCTCTAAAAAAAGTAAACTTACTTCCAAATCTAATTCAAAATGTGATTCCTTAATATTTGAGCAATCTGATAATTTTTTTTTAACCCAGATGTTTCCAGTTCTGAAAAATCAAGAAAATGTATACTCATGGTTAAATCGAAGCTCAGAAATTTCTATTTTTTCAATCAGTGAACTAAAAGAAGAGAAAACAAGCAAACTCCAAATGATTCTGCAGTGATGAAACATTTCTGACATTTTCAATAATGAAAACTTCTGATTCCACCAAAATTAAATATTTCAGTCTTTTCCATCCTGATCTGGAAAGTGACTCATAGACATTTTCACCTTTTTTTTTTTTTTTTTTGTTAATGTATCTTGGCATGGAAAAGGAAGTGAAATAAGGATTGTGCTCAGAGGACTATAAACCGAGACTCTGAAAACGGTACTGTAGTAGTAGAGGAGTAGTGACAGACAGTTTGACAGAGAAAGGAATGATTTAAGCAGTCACCTGGAGAGTGCCCCCAGATCTGCTCTGAAGAAAAAAAGACAGAGGTCCTGATAATTCACACATTTAATTTGGAGATTAGAACCTCAGGGACTGAGTTACTGAACTCATACCATAGAGTAGGAGTACATTTATCATTTGTAGTTAGGTTTTTCATAAAGAAACTAGCAAAAGGAATACTTGTCCCACTGCATGTTGCCTTCAACTGACATGCTCCTGCTCAGCCTTTTCCATTCACACAATTTACCCATGAAGTTTTTAGTCTTGCACATGTAGAGTATTTTTGACAGATAGTATAATGTTATTCTTACTAATAATGCTGTGGGTAGATTTTTTGTCACTGTTTCTGTGGGTTCTCTGAGAGGTACCATCAGCTGTCTGACTGCAGGTTACACCCTCTGGGGTGATGGTACCTAATAACCACATTTAGAATAATTTGTCCCAGACTAAATGCAGTATCTGAGTGCCCTGCAATGCTGGAGAGTCCTTGCCAATATTATCCTAATGAAATATACAGATGCAAAACCAAACAAACAACCACAAGAAGCATTCATTTGCAGCAGACTTCTCTGACTCAGTTACAAATACCATTAATATCAGTGAATAAGCACATAGGACAGTAAGTGAGGCAAATTGCATATTATGGGACAACGCAACAAATCCAAAGAGGAGACCACAGAAGTCATTGTGCTGGCCCACTTCATCTGGTTGCAAGGTATGATGTAGAGTAGTTACAGTACAAAGCCTGATCTTTATATCAAGTAGTCTTGGTGATAATACCTTTGTGAATGATGTGAGAGAAGCAAATTCAGCTTCTTCTAATTTGGGGAAGAGGTTTGGTTCTAGAAAGCTCATCTTTAGGTCACTATCATGAGCCTGAAAGTACTGCATATTCCAATACTTATTTCAAACAGCAGCCATATCTTTTGAAACTGTTCCGCTTCACATAAAATATTTAAAAAATCAGTAGAACATGAGCTGAAACCCAGTTCCTATGGGGACTGTTGTAACCATTAGGTTATCATGCATTTTTCATTTACTCTGTTCATAAAAGTATTCAGCCATTCTATGCAAAGCGGATATGTATCTGGAACAGGACACACTAAGAAAGATCCCTCAGAGAAATTTCTGCTCTAATTATATTGAATACCACCTTGTGACTTTGGATGATTGGGTTCAAATCTCTGCAACAAATCAGACAGATAGAGGCATTCAGGTAGCTCACACTGCAGGTGAATGTTCTAGCAGTGGGTTATTGAGGATGAAGTCAAGCAGCATCTTCTGCTACCTGGCTTCCCACACAGAGCAAACGTTAGACTGGGTCTTGATGTCACAACAGACAGAGGGACATTCACTTTATCAACTCTGTTGCAGCTGAGGCTCAGAACAGATTACGGCATCAGGATATGGCTGGTTTTGTTCAAATAATGTCAATATAAGGAGAAGGGAACTTTCCGTGGAGATATAGATACCTCCAATTCCCAGTGACAGAGAGACTGCCTTACTTAATTAAGTTGCTGGAAATGGCAGTTATGTACCTAAATATCCTTGACTACATTTATGAACAGAATCAAGGCATGGGCTAGGCTAATGGCAAGTCACTGTGTCTATACTGATGCACTTTTGCATGGCACCTGGTCTGGACTGAACCAGCTAGACTGGTAAGATAGTGTGGGCCTCAAGTCACTCCCAAAAGGCAGTTTTGTGCAGCCTGCATGGGGGTAAGACTGTTTACTTGTATGGATAAATGCTGGCCCATAACAGTTGAACTCAGGGACAGAAAATAGTCCCTGGCCTATTTTATTTGCTAGTACTGATGTAGCCTTGGTATATCAAGGCCTTTGACACTTATCAGTCAACAAAGGCATCATTGCTAGCTTGGTCTAATGACACTACCACTCTTCTCTTCCCTTCCATATTTAGAGCATCTGACAGGCAAATATTCAATGTTTAACAGCAAGGTCTTGGAGGGATTTAAAGAAAGAGAGAGATGGCGACTGATCCAAGATTTGTTCAAGAAGTTAATAGACCTTTAGAGAAAGGAATATTTTCATCTAAACGATAACAGAGATTAGGATGACTTTCGGGTCAACCTTAGAATCATAGAACCATAGAATGGTTTGAGTTGGAAGTCATCTTAAAGATCATCTAGTTCCAACCCCCCTGCCATGGGCAGGGACACCTTCCACTAGACCAGGTTGCTCAAAGCCCCATCCAACCTGGTCTTGGACACTTCCAGGGAGGGGGCAGATCAACTCCTCCGAATTATGGAAAACAAGGTTGGAACTTTTTTTCCAGCTGCATGTTGTCTTTATTTAACAGGATCCCACAAGAGCATAATTTCTGCTGAATTCAGACTTGTGTTGGTTCAGACTCTGACTTTGTCCATAGTCCTGAAATTTCATTTATCACCTTACTGAAGAGGCAGTATGACTGTTAGTGAAAACAATCTTGGCCACTGTCAAGGATTTCAGAAGTTGACTGTCTTCTGCCATCATTTTCTCTTTGAAATCTTACGGGTTTCATACAGTTACTACAGCAATACTATGCTAAACTGTGTATATGCAACTATTCAGCAATTCAAAATAAAGGTACATACACCATAAAGAATTACCTGAAATATTGCAGACATCTTCAACTACCTTCCAGACACTCTCACATCCATTTGCAGCATTTATACACTGCTCCCTCAAGTGCAGACAGTCAGCAGTCTGAGCAGTAGATACACTTGTGAAGTACATGAACAACACTGTAAAACCAGAATATAATGATTATTTATTACATTAGATAGTGTACTGACCTTTTTCATTTACACTTAAATTATAACAATATAATTTACTGTAGTTTATCTATAGATTCAAATTTTCTACCAAGTGAATTTTAAACAGAATATTTTTTTTCCTCAGTTTCACAGCTGGAAAATTAAATTTAAATTTTAAATTTTCAAAGTTGCAGTGTGGCATATTTTGTATTGGTTTTATTCCAGTATTATACATCAATCATAGCTATATATGGTTTATATATATATATATATATATATAAAATAGATATATAGAAATGGCTGCAGTTCTGAGATCCATAAGAAATTATAGAAAGGAAGACAGACAATATAAAATTCAGAGGAAACAGCATTTTATTTGGACTGCAATTTCATCAAGCTAGAGACTACACAGGAATTCCTATGAATAGAGCATGTGAAAGAGATCTGACAGTTACATAACTGTTAGATAATAAATGAGATATTATTTCATAATACAGTACTCTTCACCATCTTTGTTTTTACTTCACAGATGCATCATTTCTTGAAAACAACCCACTCCTTTACGTCTTTATCTGCTTCCCCGAGTGCACTGAACCTAAAGGCCATGTTAATTGCATAAAAAAGTTCTGAAACTGAAGACTGATACAGAAGTTTCAAGGTAAAGAATTTTAAATCAGCACCATCTCTGGCTTATGAGTAGAAAATTTAATTGTCTTGCTAAGAAAAGACAAATTAGTTTGGGTTTAGCTCTTTCATCAACATTTATGTGGTAACACAGCCCCTAATTTGTAACCATGTGTCATAATTTTCTATAAAATTAAGTTTCAGACAGTGATTTCAGGCCTTATCAAACTAGGTGATAAATACCTAATGGGATTGTTTTCCTTAGGTATTGAAGGACACAGCATCTCCCAGACCAAGTCTCCTTTTTTTTTCCTTATGTTCAGGTAAATTCATATGTAACCTGAGACTTTTCTAGTACTAATTCCTTAAATGTCATCTGCAAGAGGCATGAAATATTCCCTCAGGATTTGTCCAGATCATATCCATAGAAATTAAGTGTTTCCAGTGGTACATTTGAGAAATAAGAAATTAAATACCAAATATTGCTCTTAATAAAGAGGCATGACAGTTTAGAGGTGATGCCACCCCTTCTGGAAATTATTCTTACCTGTGATATAACAGTGCTGCCATAGGGAAAGCTTTCTGCGTGCATGTTGGTAAAGACGAAGCAACATTTAATACTTTATAACTGACAAGTACAGTAGCATCTAGGGTGCCTATGAGACACTGAGATACCACGTGCTTACTGTAGCAGGTGCTAATCCTTCCCCAGTTGTGCATAGTCCTGCCAGTTCCCAGATCTGTGCAAGGGTTGGTTGTGATGTCAGTGATTTACAACCTGAAATACTCTTTTAGGCTGCATCTGTCGCTCAGCCTGAAAGGCTGATTGACAGAAACAGCCTCTGCCACTTGACATTGAGGAATGCGCAGCTGGCCCATCCATAGGGACAATTTTGGCTCATTATGGCAATATTTTAATCCTGAGACCGTCTCCAAAAGTTCTAACTGTGAAATTATTCACTATTATTTCAGATGACAGAGAAAAAAAAAAAAAAAAAAAAAAAGTTGCCAGATACCTTACAGGTCAAAATTCCTGTATATATAAGGCAATACAAAATTACAAACCTAGAAACTTTTTAAGAAAGGGTATTTTGCTGGATGACCACTTGCCTATTTTTTAGGTACTAAGACAGTGGAAGATTTATGCATCTGATTAGGATCTGCAGCACAAAGACTTCATACTGTCTCGCTCCTGCTAAAGCAGCTTTTCAGAACCAGTGACTGAAAATTAATAAAGTAGGACTGATTGCCAATTAGCAGCTCCTACTCCTTTGTTAGGATTATTTCAGAGTGTGTTTATTTTGAACCCACCTGGAAACTGTGCCTACAAAAAGGAGGAGATGCTACTGCAAAATAAACAGCCAAGTGGCATAATACATGATTGAAGCTAATTCAGTCTAAGAGCTTCTCCAGATCTAATGACATCTTACAGATGGGTCTTTTGTTTCCTCAGCAGTACACAGGGAGCATACTGTGGCAAGCCTACATGAAACAAACCAGCCTATATGATTTCAGAATGCAGTGAACTGTAGCTAATACAACTGTTAAAATTAACAATCACTTCAGTCATTCACTTTAGTTATTTACTCTACTGTTTGGAGTACTCCGCAACTGTTTCCTACTTAGAAGAGTTCAGGTCATCTAAGAGTTAGTTTGTAGCTAAAACTTTTAGAGGGATACATTTTGGTATGAAGATACATAAATATAGATTTCTACAGTTGTCTGTATTTTTGTACAGGTGTCTTGATTCACTGGGTAGGTGTAAAATTCCTTGTTCTGAAGAATTTGGTGTCTAAAGTGAAAAGAGGGGAAAGAAGGGCATTTTAGCACCTTCATTTTGCAGATTGGGAACTGTGGAATGGAGGAATTGCAGTGTCTCTCCCAAGATTGCAGAATTATTATCTGGCAGATAATAATGAATAATGGGAAACCAAGCTGTGGTGTCTATCTAACTGCAAGAGCAGCAAGATAGGTAGCTCCAAAGGAGAAAGGCAAACTAGAGTTGAATACAGATTGAGTATAGTTGAAAAGTGATAAAGGATCACTTTATTCTAACAAAGCCTGTGGCAGAACTACTTAGAATGTTTTTTAACAGGGGAATATGAGTTTAGAGTAGCGGGATGTTAAAGAGTTCAGCATGTATACAGTAGGTAGAGGGGAATAAAAGAAATGAAGATACACTTGTCTCAACGTCTCTTGTGCCAATCCCGTTTCTACCAGGTTTCTTGATTTTCCCTTTTCCTCCGTTCAGACCCCAAGGGAAATGCCAGTAGCCCCCCTGCGTCGCACTGCCAGCACTAAACTCTTCCCACGTAGCAAACAAGTGGCTGTTTATTCAGACAAGCCGTCCCAGTTGCGGGACTCCTCGCCGGTTCAACTTCTGGCCAGCGCCACCCCCGCCACCCCCGCCTGGGTGTCCAGGGCCTGGCCGTCGCGCAGGGGTGGGGACCCCCGCCGGGTACCTGCTCGCCCCCCTCCTTCGGGCTCCCCGCGGGAAGGATCAAGGGACGGAGCCCTCAGGGATCCCGCGGGGAGGAGAGGCCAGGAGGCGCGGGGCGCAGCGAGGGTCCTGGCCAGGCTGGGGGGCTGCCTCCTCCCACCCCAATTCTCTCTTCCCCTTCCACCCCCCCCACCCCTCCCGCGGCACTTACCGAGGCGGAGGAGCGCGGCCATGCCCGGCCGCCGCCGGCTGCAGCTCCGCGCCGAGCGGGGTCGCGCCGGGACGCGGGTGTCGGGGCGGCGCCGCCCCTTCAGCACCCGCCGCGGGGACAGCGCCCCGCCCCCGGCCCCCCCGCCCCGTCCTACTGCCCCCCGGCCCCCCCTCAGCCCATCGGTGAGGAACCCTGGCTGAAGGGTTCCCCCCTCACCCCCCCCGGCCCCCCCTCAGCCCATCGGTGAGGAACCCTGGCTGAAGGGTTCCCCCTCACCCCCCCCCCCGGCCCCCCCTCAACCCATCGGTGAGGAACCCTGGCTGAAGGGTTCCCCCCCACACACACACACCGGCCCCCCCTCAACCCATCGGTGAGGAACCCTGGCTGAAGGTTCCCCCCTCACCCCCCCCCCCCCCCCAGCCCCCGCCAGCTCCCTTTGGTGCCGCCGTTACACCCTTCAGCCCCTGTCTCTCTTTCGGCCGTCATCGCTAATCGGGGCGAGGTGGTTCCCAGGCGTTTCTCACTTGGGGTGGGGGGTGGGGGTGGGGGAAGGCAGCTGGCACTGCCTGTGCATCCAGCTCTCCGCTGATTTTCGGAGAAACTAACAGAACAAGTCTGGCGGACGCCTGCGATCTCTCCAGATAAACGCCTGTTGCTATGCCTGACCGCCTTCTGCGAGCACTTTTCAATGCGTTTTAGAAGTGGATTTGTTTTCGTCTCAGACGCTGAACAGGATCATGATCTGCTAAGGAGACAGAGGAGCTATGGAGGATGTTGGCCAGCAGACCAGAGGAACAAATAACTAGTCTGTAGTCTAGACCCATCCTAGAGTATGGGCCTAACTTCAGGAGTTTCACTAAAATACACCAAAAACCAGTCTGGCATAAAAAAGTGAGCAGCTGACTTGGGTACTTAATAAAAAAGAAATCAGCCATGAAGCATACAATCATACACCTGCTGGCTTCACTGGATGCTTTTTGCTTTTGCACTGGAAGGAGGAAGAAACAGCAGATCCCTATTGATTCCTCCACACTACCTGTGCGTCTTGTTTTCACAAATTGCTTATCCCATAAAGAACATTTTAAATTGGATTTGGTCCTTGAATGCTTAAACCAAAAAGATATCCTAAAACTTCCAGCATAACTAGCAGAGATAGAGATAACTTGTGTGGAATCCTGTCCCTATATTGGCAAAGCAGAAGTTGAACCAAATCCAGATTTTGCTTAATTTTTTGTTTAGGTCAGTGTCATGATTTAGGAAAATTCAATCTTGCAATATTAAAAAAAAAAAAACAAAAAAAAAACTTAGTTAATTTATCACATTCTTTATTTAAACTCTTAAACACTGCTAAATTCGTCTCAGCTTTAATCCGTTATAACATGCAACAGTAGGTTGCGATGCATCTTACAGGGAGGGCTGAGTCAAGCTGATGTTTACTGTGCTCTACTTCCTATAAAGCACTCCCCATGTTAATGACGTGCATCAATTTTGCTAATATCAGAGATGAGATGGTGTCCTCTATACAGTCCAAAAGAAAAGGAAAACAAAATGCCTTTTTGGAGGTGGAGAGGGTAAGAAATCACCTTGCAGTCATTGTGACTACAGGGCACAAGCTTTTCACTACAGTGACAACAGAAAAAGAGAAGGAGGTCAGGATATCAGACCTACAAGATTGTGAAATGTGTTGAGAGACAAAGTACCAGAGTGATGGTGGCACAGCAATTTATGTATGTGGGAACAAATATGTTGTAATTTAAGCTCTATGTCTAATGATATGTCCAAGCAGAAACAATGGCATGAGAATTCAGTTTCTATGCTCCTGAGTTGCTAGTGGAAATATCAGAGTACTAAAGCAACGAGAGGTAACAAAACACAATTAAAGCTCAGCTTTCAGATAATTTTCAAGGTTTATAGGCTGGATAAGAAATGTGCATTCCTAACCTGACCTTTTTTGATGGATAAGAAGCCCAGAAACTTCTTTAAGATGGGTTAATTTCTGTCACATGGTCTTAAAATCTCACCATGTCTTCTCACAGCCATTTCTATCCCCATTAATATTCACTGCTCACTATTGGCTTTATCTTTACTAAAAACTCCTAGTGATTATTTTCGTTCAAAAATAAATCCAGCTGGATAATATTTTGAATGTATCTAAGTATTTGGATCTTTCTGCAGGAAAAGGTCCTAGAACTAGCAAAAAACTCCTCACTACTTTATACAGGCAGATGAGAGATTTCTAAAGGCCTCTGAAGTTTTTCTGATGAAATTGTGCCTGAAAAATTATTTGAGCTAAAAAAGAAAATTTCTAGGTATTTTTCAAATTTCGTAAAACTAAATAAATAAATACATATGAATATTTGTATCAAAAATGTTTATTTAAAAAAAAAGATATTTTTGAATAAAAAATCTTTTCATCAAAATAACCAAATATTTTGCTTGATAACCATATTTAACCAGCCTTTAGCTTGATAACCATATTATCTGGCAAGAATTAGTTAACACCTTCTACCTATCCTTGAAATTTCAAATCTTAGACAAGATCTGACTATATCACTTGTGTCTGAGAGATATGCTAATTACTCAACAAAAATCTGGCCAGATAAAAATCCAGACTCATTTGCCAATTAATGTATCATCTTTTATTTATATTCTCCACAAAATATGTACTGTTAAGTTAAAGTTATGGCTAAAATAAATTCCTAGGAAAGTTGAAAAATTTTAATTTTGGAGATCTAGGTGAAAATAAGAGAACAAAGAGAAAAAAAAAAAAAAAAAAAAAAAAAAAAGAGACATTTTCTCTTACAAAAGAGAAAAATAAGGCCAGAACCTCCATTTCTAACATGTCACAGGACACCTGCTGAAGCCAAAAACTCCCAGTGACCTTTAGTGGTGTTCTTACCTCAAACTAACAAACACAATTTCTCCCACTGGCATTAAGGCAGCAGCAAAAAGAAGACAATTTCTATTGGCAGGTGGTATTCAAATCCCCTGTGGAAAGATGCTACTTATGATTTTTCCATGACCATTGCAACCCTTCTCCCCCCTACCCCCACGCCACCCCCCCCCCCCACCCCCTGCCCCTGTTCATCTCACAAGGATCTGGGCAACACACCTGACAAGGGATGAGAATTTTGCTGGTCTTCCACAGTCACCCATGACCTTCTATGTTTGAAAGGTATGCACACTCCCCTTTTATACTGACAAAGTTTTCTTAGATAACCATTTACTTTCTCCTTTCTTGTTCTCTCTTCAAGGAAAAGATAAAAATACATTTTCTGAAATGAAAGTATAGGTTTGCATAATTTTGACATAATTGATATTTTTCAGCACTGGGTTGAGGCAACATTTTATGGCACAATTAAATGATTACTGATAATTATTTTGCAACTAGATTCCTATACTAGTTTTTAATTGTTTGACTTTTTATTTACTTATATCGAAACAAAAGAACAAATTAGAAGTATTCAAATTCCATTCTCCCTTTTCTGTAATGTTTTAATTCAGCAGCTGTTTGTCCAATCATTTCAAATTATATAGAAAAATTATATCTTGTTCCACACAGTTTAAGAATACAACATTTTCTGTGGTTGAAGAGCAAAAATAGCCTTCTAATGGCAAAGGAATTGCAATAGCTATGAAATAAAATCCTGCTGTAATTTCCACAGCTATTTGTGTTTTTTTCCTTTGAAGAGACAAAGTAAAATAATTTCTTGACATAACAATGACATAATAGCTATATTTAAAAATTAAGCTTACACACAGGAATATAGGAATTCCTCTGATTTTATTTGATGTTTAAACATTCTTTCCATTTAGGTATTTCTCATTATTTTTTTTACTAGAAAAAGAATATTCTTCTTTTTCTTTCTTAATAGAAAAAGAAAACTTTAATATACAAACAAATGCAAATTTTTTTCTCTCACTTTACACCAGTGTAAACTAGGAGTAATTTCAACAATGTCAAGTAAAACAGCTGTTGGGCAAGGCTAAAGCATAAAATGATAAAGCACTTCATAAAACTATAGCTGTCGTGGTAGACAGTACATTGCATGACATTAGGTCAAAATCAAACCTAGAAAAAATATTTACATAAATTAATCAAATAACACCTTGTCTATGAATAACTGGCTTTTCAGAAACATCTAAATGTGTGAGAATGTCTTCTTTCTATGTGAAATGCTTTTTACTGAAAACCAAGTCCTCACTCCCATCTTACTCTTCCTTTTGAAAAATCTTAATAGTGCCACAGGGAGATTGTAGCTCAGGTCCTTATAGATTAGCCTCTCCAAACAATAGGCCATGTTCCCCTAGTAGACTAAGTCTCCAGTGATGCACCGTCTTCATTCTTTAAGAAGAATAATTACAATGCATGGTATGAAGCCCCAGGCCAGGGAGCTTATCCCATAAATGGAAAATGAATAAATGAGTACTTGATCTACCGGTTCCATGAGATATCACCTCTATAATTTCCGAAGAGAAATATTTTATTTTAATTGTTGAGAAGTCAACGTTTCCTTGGCATATAATTATGCTAATTGTTAGTATCATTAGTATTAAATGGCATCTGAGAGAGAAAACGTGAAAGAAACAAGATAACCAATGTTTTCTATTTTAAAGATTCTCCGAGATCTTCAGGAGCAACACTTCCAGACATTACGGACTAAAATGGGCTACCAAAGTTAAAATGTTCTGTCCTTCAGGGGTGCTGACACTTGTTATTCCTATTGGCCTGAGTAGGAATTTTGAGTCTATAGCACCTTTGAGCATCACGTAAGTTTTGTTTAAGTAGTTATATTTTAGGCACTCAAGTCTGAAGAAAAAGATAATTGGCTATTTAGTGTAGTCTTATGAAAACATGTGTGACTTGCAGCACTTTGGGTTCACATTTTAGACGCATGTCTGTGCTTAGAAAAGTAGCCTGTAATCTCCCCAGATCAATCTGAAGTGAAAGTTCCATAATGAGTGTAGAATTTACTACAAGTGAATTAGCAGAAAAAGAAGTGCAAAGTAATTCCAGAATATCACTAGTGCATAAGTAAGCATTCCCTGTAAATAAGT